TGACTTTGGGTTCCTCCGGGAGGTCCCAGGCTCTGTAATTGAGGTCTTGACGTCTGACTTGGTGGCGGCCGGACAGACTGTTGGCCTCACCCTGACAGCTCAGCTCAGCTATTTGCAATAATTGGCATAATAGCTACCTTCCAATTATGCTCAGATATGAGTTTCAAATGAAGGAGGATGTCCAACATGAAGGTAATGAGTTGATGCCTGATGGCGCTGCGTGTGGGAAAGTATTCTTCGGAGGGGTTGAAGGAAGAGACATCTGGAAACTTCAAATTGTCCCTTTTTTGAGAATTGGTTGAAGATGTCAAAATTTAAAAAAAAAGTTGGACCAAAAATAAGGAGAGAATAATTCCCAGGACACTGATATCATAGCTATGAGGCACAGTTGTGTGATGTTGCCCGAGGCTTTGCAAGTGTACAATGCAGGGCTGAATTTTAAAAAAGGATCTTTTTTTTTTTTTGTCTTTATGGAGGCTTTCATAAAGAAAAAATATGTTGGGTAACAAAATCCCCAAAAGGCAACCAGAAAACCCCTGGAGAGTTCTGCGTTACAAACTGAGCCCTAACCTCGAAGGCTTTCAGCGACTCGTGGATTTAGGAAATCTTTCTTATGTTCCATGTTAGCGCGAGAGCATGAAGGAAAACTTGTTCTGTCTGGTGACTGTCTTAAATAAACCTTTGTGTCTCCTCCATTGTAAATGGCTGCGGGTTCTTTTGCATGGGTGAACGTGTAAACAAGTTTGTGTCAAAAAAAGGTGAGAGCAAGAGGGCAAGAGCCGAAGAAAACCCCATTTTGCGCGCCCCTTCCCTTTCAATCAACAGATCTTTGTTTGACCGTCACTCCTCTGTGTTCACACATTGCTCACAACTTTCTCTCACTGTCTTTTCCTGCGTCTCTCACTCTTTAACTCTCACTGATGCACCCTGAGGCGGAAATATCTAAGTGCACGCAGGGCAAGTTCAGACAGAGATGGCGATGGAGAGAATGGTGGGAGGGTTTGAAAGGATTTCGAGTGACTGACACTAAACGCTAAGAGGGAGGAACATGGCGAGGGAGACACAACACAGAGTGAGTGTAAAGATGGTCTGCTGGATAGTTCCGTCAAATGTGACCGTGTTGCAGACGAGGCGGGTTTTAGAGTGACTAAAGGAAGTTGGAAGAGAACCTGAATGTTTATGGTGCTATCAGTCAATGGGTGCAAGTACATCAACGCTCCCTCCCGTCTGCGGGTATTGACAGTGTTAAATGTCTCCGTCCCTGATTGAAGACTGCACTTTAGTCTGCCTCTCTATACAGAAGTGACCCGTTTTAGCGGCTTTGAGTTTGAAAAACCCCTTTTCATGATCCCCCCCTTCTCTTTCTGTGTCTCCTCTCCATTCTCCTATCTCTCCCATCCCCAAACTCTTTCATGAGCAGTCTCTCAGGGGCAGGGTTGTAACATAACCCTCCCCTCTTTTGTCTCCATTCTTCTCCTTATCCTTTCATCTTTTTTTAAACATTCAGGGGGAAAGGGGTTTGGTGAGATGGAAACCACGACTTGGTAAAGGAAAGAAAGAGATAGCATGTGAGAGGGGGGGAGGCCGGGCAGAGTCTTCCCTCTGCTCTGTTCATCCGCCAATTTATGGCTCTCCTTTTCAACAAGGCCATTCAAGGTGGAGCGTTTCAGTGGACGGGCTGATGTGAGGACGACTTATCTGCTCAGAGGACCCGTTGAACTGTCTGTCGGCCTGCGCGTCCCCCGTGGTCCTCCATTGTGTCTCCTCCGGGGCCTGTCGTCGGCTTTCCCCCTAAAGACCTGTGAGTGGACAGAGCAGCCAGTCAACAGGTCCTGTTTGCATCCTTTCAACTATACAGGGGTCCCGAAACCGCCCGCACTCACCCCGAAAAGACATACCGACAGACAACCGGGTTTATTGACTTTTAATTCAACCAAATAACACTGCGGCATTTAACCGTGAAAAGCTCAAGATGTTTTCATGTAGGAAATATCTACAGCAAGTTAAGACAAGGTATATGGAATTCACAATATCACATTAAGAGAACCCAACCATTCACGGAGGCCACACAATCTTCTCATTTTGCTCGTAAAGTAAGTGTTGAAAAATTTAAAAGAAAACAAATACAGTTGTAAACAATCATGGGATGTATGCGCCAGATGTTTTTACATTACAGTAATTCATAGCAACAAAGTATGATAAATATTGTGTGTTGCAATGTCAAGAGATCTTCCCAAGTTTTGGGGATTTGGAGCGACACCAAGAACTAATCACTTCTTTCTTAGCCTGCGGCGTCAATAAATATTTTCTTAGTTTGCAAGCAAATAACTATCACTTTCTTTTATGGTAAATAATGAAAATACCAGCGCTGACATCTAAATTGAATGATTGAAAGTGATTTGTTAAAGAGCAAGAGAGCTCGTCAGGTGTGTGGTTTTTTTTTTTACATGGCACCTGGAAATGTGCTACTGTTCACTCAGCTCGTTTTGGGTGTAACTGTGTTGCAGTTTTAATGATGGACAACAGTAGGAACAAAACGTATGCTGACGTACAACAATGGTGATTTGGATGCTGCAATAAAGTTAGGCAATTACTGATATGTGACCAATTAGTCCTGCAAGCCCAACCTCCAAAGTGACCATCATTTTGGTATGTACACCCCCCTGAGCAGAACATTTTAATGGTGTAAAGTAATCTCCCTCAAACTTGATTTATATCCAGAACCCCCCAGTAGAATTTACCTAAAGGTTTCTAGTCCTTGGAAATAGTTTCAGCAGTAGAAATGGTTACCTTGTCGACTCATTTCCTAGACGGTAAGACGGAAATTTAAATTCAGTTTAACCAACAAGTTAAAAGGTAAAAGACCACTATGAATTTTTTTAGCACAACTGATTTAAAATGGTCAGTGGTAAACAATTTACTTTGGTTTGACGAGTGTGGCTAACATTAGCAGTACAAGCACCGCCAGCTTTCGGTTCTCCATGCAGCTTAACATACAAACTGTCAGTGCTAAATGTGGTTACGCATTGTTCTGGTTGATATGCCAGTTTTACCTGACACAGCCTACATTCAACTCTTACTCCATTTCCTTGATCAAAATGCTGCCAAACCACAGCGGCCAAGAAATGCTTCTAATTCACTGTGCTTGTTTACCAGGTCGTAGAGCAGGGAGAGCACGCCCATAAACAGGAGGTACAGACAGTGTACGGGGTAGCGGTGGATGGCTGTGTTGCAGTTTGTGCACAACATTTAAGCAGCATTGTGGGCCAAAATATGCTGAAAATAGTGATTCATATGCTGACTAGAAGCGATTGTGTTTAACTATTTAGTCGACAAAACGTGCACTAGAATTACATTTTAGAAGAAAAAACTCCTTGTTGGGTTGCAGGGGGCCAGGGGTCGGATTCATGGGGGCCATGGCTTCAAAATGCCCCAGGGCCCCAAAAATCAGCAAGTCCATCCCTGTTTAAAAAGTATGTTGAACAAGGAATGCATTTCACAGTAAATGTGAGGAGCTGACAGTGTTTCAAAACATGTTTGAAACATACATTCTTAAGATGTCATTTAAGCTTAGATAATTTGGGCAGCTACAAAATATGAAAAATGGGTAAAATTACAGGTCATGAGACCCACCCACCATCGAGGAACGGATGGAAATTATACAAGGGATCTACGTCATGGAAAAGATAACATTTTCCCTCAGTGCACAACAAGAAAAGCTTCACATAATATGGTCTAAATGGACTGAGTGTGTAAAAACCGTAAGATCGGACTTTAACTGATTTGATTTGTGAATTGTGAAAACCCTCTACATCTTGTTTTTTTTCCCTTTTTGCTTGATTCAGAAACAGTAAGCTCCCCCGGTTCTGCGGTGCACATGTTGCAGTGAAATGAACGATTTATAAGGAAAAGAAAATTTTGTGGGAAACGCATTATGGACAAAGACGCTCAAGACTTTCCGCAACCAAGTCTTTACCCAAATCCCGGCGGGAAGGGGGGGACAAACAATGGTCAGATAACTCCATGAGGATCGAAGGAAGTCTGTCAAGTAATGAAGGTCATGTGCAATGTAAAATCACACTGTGCTTTTCCTAATACAAAAAAATCAACTCTCAAATCACCCTGCCTTTGCTGTTGAGCAAGGCTCCTAGCTGCCAAAAAAAATTAACAAAAACACATATCCTAACCCCTCCCTCTGGCACAAGACGACGGAAGCAATCTGAAAGCAGACTCGCATTTGGCATTAAAACACAGGTTACATCTTCAGGTCTGATTGTGCCAAATGGGATAAGGTTGCACCCTTTTGCATTTGCAGACCCTGACGTCTGAAACATCCAGTTTCACGAACTGCTTGTTTGCAATAATACGCACTGTTACCAACAACCTCCAGCTCACATCATCACATGGACCTGCGCCAAGACACCGCTGGGTAATTTAATGAACTGTTTTCTTGGGAACAACGGGGCGGGGACGAAACCCAGGGGGGGAGGTACATGTAAAACATATCTCTGTCACGCACATGCGAACTCTTAAATCCACCACGGTTGTGTGTCTTTGTGAACGCATCAAATCTAGACAGCAAAGGAAATGTGACTTTTTGCCTAATTTTGTCCACTGACTCCTGTAAAATGCAAGTGCATCTGTGGTGGACTTTGCATTCATCTGTCTTAACATGTGTTATTAGTTTAAACTTGTTTGCCTCTCTTTATAATATACGAACCTCCTGGCTCCTGGGGGGGGAAACTTTTTTTGCGCTTCCCAAGAGAAACCAGAGGGAGGTAGCTGCGTTAAGCTAACAGTTGAGGAGAAGAAACAAGCGCCTTGGAGTAACCGTGTCCGGCCTTCAAAATAAAAGCAGTGTTGCTGTGCGTCGCGTTCCATCCCCTTGTGGAATTCTCGCAGCGGGTTTTACTTTGAAGGCCCCCCCCCCCCCCCCCCTCCACCCCCTCCCCGTGTAGAAGTTGTAATTCTAGCTCGCGCCGGCTTCACGGTTTGTCCGACTTCAACGCGTTTCAGGCGGAGTTCAGATCTTAAAACATTTGGCCAAACTTCTTCACCTCTCCACTTCTCCGTTCACATATTTGAACTCAGGCACCTTTTTTTTTTTTTTTTTCTTCTTCTTTTTTTTTTCTCCCCCTCTTTGGCCCGCCACGGAGGAGTAACAACTCGTGGAATACTGAAAGTTTGAGACAAGTTTACATTTTTTTGATTCCTTTCTGGGGTTATTTCTCACTTACTTTTCTCTCTCTCTCCCCCCCTCTGAAGTGGGAGCGCTCCCCGGACTCCTGCGGTTTGTTACTTTAATTCTCTTTTTTTTTTTTTTTTTTTTACTCGTCGGATTTTTTTTGGGGGGTTCACATGCGATGTCACGGACTATTAAAAGAAGAAAGAAATGTTTGTGTTTAGCCGTGTGGTTACCGTACGAAGGTGTTCTTTGAGATTATTTTTTGCAACCAGTTGAGCGTCTGGCGACAGGACTCTATAATCAATGTGGTGTCAGCTGGAAGGACGAGGGGTCCGGATCTCACCTAAACGGTATGCCTTTAAAACACACACGCAGCCCTTCAAATGGAAAGTGTTACAGCATTTTTTATAAAGTTACATGATTAATAAAGGGACATAATCACTCATTTAATTGTATAATTGGCTGTTGGATAGACCACTAGTTACATAATGGCACTAAGTTTTTAATTGGGTCACTTTATGATCTTATATAAGTTTGTATTTATTTTTTTACATGCAGATTTTAAATGTTTTTTTTTTTTTTTAATTATAGGCTTTTATTCTGTTTTGCTTGTTTCCCTGCAACTCCTTGCTCCTCAATGCATTCGCAACATGCCAATCCCACTTCATTTTTAATTTTATTTTCTTTGGCAGTCGTGCAGTTGTAGTGCTTATTTCACATCTTGTTTTGGCTGGCAGGCAGTCAGCTGAGGTGAGAGCTACCGTCTCGCAGTACAAACCCGCAGGTAGATCACACAGGTTGCAATGGAAAACAGACCTGCTGCAGTTGATGTCTTAATCCGAGGTTACCAAGAGATCAGGGGCTGAAAAGACTCCGTGGGTGGTTTGAGAATATAAAAATCATGCAGTGTTAAATCTGGATGACTGAGAAGCTACACAGATGTTGAAGCTTGTATATCTTGCAACATGTTGCCAGGTAAGCCTTTAAGGTATTTCTCATGTTTTCCTACAACCAGTGCTTGTGCAGCCTCTTACCAGAAGTTTGTTTATGTTTGTGTGTGAAAGAGAGACCGATCCAGGGAGATGTCACTGATAGAGCTGTTCATTTGGAGCCAAGGTTAGAGAGGAGGAGGGCAGGATCCTGCAGGCTGAGCGTGGCATGAAACAATCACAGACCTGGAATTAATGGCCTGTTTGCACAGTGGGACAGCCAGGCTTTGTAATTGAGCACATGCGGGGCCAAGGCTTTTTACTCGACTCCTACAGAGAGGAAGAGCGAGAGTGGGAAGACAAACATTTACCTGCCTGTGTTTCCACATCACACGCTGTCACAGCCACTCCTGCTGTCACTATTCTTACACTCTCAGACGCATTTCTGACACATTAGTCAGACCGTGTCAGTCATGAAATCTGCTGAAAGATGTGAGGCGAGGGGCAAACGGTCTTCACGGACACCTCAGGCCTCCGGACATCCTTCACTCCTGTCGCTCTTTGGGTTACAGGACTTCAAAGAGGCAGGATTAGCACGGGACGGGGTCTGGTCCTAACACTAACACAGGATGCATTATCCCTGTGTCAGATGGACGTGTCTGACATTAGCCACACATTAGGGGTTTGGTGGTTGTAGGGGGGGAGGGGGGGTTACTTTGTTAACTGGATAATAGCACAGTAGCCACTGCCAGGTGTGGATTTACATTATGGCATCTGTTTCCTGGTGAGGGATTTGCAGCATGAGCCCCCCCCTCCCCATCTGTACCATAATTCCCCTGGATTCCTCTTTCACTTATGCTGTCTCATCTGGAATAAACCCCCCGCGGTTCACACTGGCAGCACTAAGTACAGCAGTCAAACCAATTTTCCAGTTGCCAGTTTCAGTGAAGAAACAATTTTCCTTTTTTTTTTCTTTTTCTTTTGATCACATTTTCTGTCAATAGCTTCCTGAGTTGCTACGTGTCGACAAAGTTTATTTATGTAAATTATGCTTTTGTAAAGTAGCTCAATAATTAAGCAGTGACTTTAATCATCTTTGCAGTGACTTAAGGTATTTTAGAGTGTGACCAATTTGAGACTTATACTGTTTCTGTTTTAAGAGGAGACAAATCATCGTAAACAGATATTATTTTTTGACTGAAATAAAAAATAAAAAAAAAACCTTTTCCTTCATGGATTGCGCACTGAAAATGTACTGATATGACAAAGCAAAGCTACTCAGACAGGCTGCTTTCTCAAATAAGTTTCCTGAGAATATATAACATTAATATTCATTTTGAACATGTTCTATTGCTGAGGATTATACAGTATATGCTCAGATCTGCTGCTCTGCTACACTGACAGTATTTAAAACTACGGAGGAACAGTGCTCACTGGTAGACAAACTACATGATCACAATCATTTGTTCATATCCATGCATGTTGGGAAAACACACAACCTAACACAGATCTTTGTTAGACTTCGGCCCGATATGATTGTCCAAAAGAATTATCAGTCAGGTTTAGGTCATTTAACTAATAAGTTGTGAAACAGAAAATGATCTGCAACTTTTGTGAATAATAAATAAAGAATAATAAATTTTTTTAAGGTCAAATTTCCGAGATTGAACTGGATGTAGGCCTACTTCTTTGTTTATTAGCTTGATGCTAATACACAATGGGAATTGCTGTTAACAGGCTAAAATAATTAGCACTGCGATTGGGGTAATTTAAATGTAAGAAATTATCAAATTTACTTAGAAATGTTGAAAAATCCTCCGCTGCTGTCAGAAGTTAAGAGAAGCTAAGTTAGCATCTTAGCATGTCTAGAGTCTGACAGTACAGTTGTGTCAGTGGCCTGTGGGCTGAATGATTGAAGCAAAAATGGTCATCAAATAAAGTAGGCGCTTCACGACACCTGTGGCCTTTTTTATACTGTGGAAGCGAATGGAAGAGGATGCTACAGGGTTTGGGCCTGTTCAGAGATCATTGTGTGTTTCTCTTATTACTTCTATAGGTTTCTGTTGCCACTCTATGTTCCACCAAAACTTAAAACTATCTGTTGTAATTAATGTGAATAAAACAGGGAAGGCTTGGCCCTGCTTGCCCATTTATACCCTCCTTTGAAGAATCAGATTAGCTTCTATTTTGATCAAATTAAATGATAAAAAGTCGGCGAGTTTGAAGGAAACTTTGCATATTTTTAGTTGAAAGCAAAGTGAAGTAAATCTGTTTCAAGCTGTCAGTTAAAAATCTTCTCCGAGGTTCTTTTGTATTGCGCAGTTAAAAGGTTTTCTTGAGTGTTTTTTTTTTTGTTTTTTTTCCACAAACAAACGAACCGTTCACTGCAGAACCTGAGGGGGGGAGATGGAGCAAGAAGAAACAGCAGATTACAAATCAAGCAGATTGGTTCAAATCACATCTGTTCAATGAGTATAATCAATGCTGAATCACACAGGATGCCACTGTGTTTTTTCCTGCAGGCCACTCAAGATAAAGTCAGAGTTCGGTGTGTTTACTCACGGGATAATTGCTCGGTGACGTGGTCGCCTGCTGCCTGTTTGTTTAGGCCCCGGCCATGCGGTTTCAGGGTGTTCTTCCTGTGATCATCTGGAAGAATTTCAGGCTACGCAGATTAGGATTACCATAAGTGTGCAGTGTTGATTGGGGAGTTTGAGGTTTTGATTTCAAGAGACTGGGATTTTCTTTTTTTGAGTGTGTGTGTGTGCTTGTCTAGGAGGAAGGGGGGGGCGGCGGGGATTTAGAGTGCTTGGGTCTGGTCCAGAGGGCGGAAGAACGCCATGGTCCTTGTCTAGCCTTGCAGGGAGTGCAAATGATGCGTGTCATTGTAGCAAATGGAGCATGGTGATGAAGTGCTGCTGCTGCTGTTTTACAAAGAAACTACTTAGAGGGACTGCCTGGCTGCCTTCTGTGTGGCATCCGAGCGCTCCAACAAGAAAGCCCTTAAGAAGCGCCTGGCTGCTCGTGCAACAGAAGACACTCGCATTATACAAATCCTCCAGATGTACACCCTGCGCCGCCTCCCTCTCCACAGTCTGCTGATTTCGAAACGATCCTCAACTCCTCTTATTAGAGTCACTAGGCATGGTTCACCTGAGCGGCGCGCACTTTGTTTTCACCTGTAATTGCTGCTCTCCGTGTTTCGAGAGGTGTGGCCAACCGCTTAAGTGTCTTTTCCTCGCACAAAGCACCTGGGTTTTATTTGGCGAGACCCGGCGCGTCGATCAGTAGCAAAGAGAAAACAGGAAGCTCACCACACTTTGATGTGTTTTATCGGCTGCATGACAGGCCGGGACTGCGAGTGCCCGGGGCAACTGCAAGAGTTATGTGTCGACCAATCCTTGCTGCTCCCCCCCGGCGGCCTCATTGTGTCCAGGGTGTGGCCCCTGCTTCCTGCGCGTCCTGTCACTGAAAGGGTTTTGTCACTCACTCACTCAGAGATGGTCACCGATGATGCATCCATTCAGACAAACACGCCACAAGCAAACAAACAGTCATGACATCCACTCCTTCACACTTCTTGTTGCCCTGCAAGTTTGTTTCCCCCCTCTCTCTCTCCTCGCTGCCTTGAAGGAGCCTCGCCAGTAAAGCTGCATCACTGACATTCTGATCATTCCACCTATTTTAACTCTTTCCAAATGACCTCCTCCCTGCTTTCAACAAACTAATATTCACCTCTGACGTGTCGGCTTCCGTGTACTGGCGTTACGACATCTCTCTGTGCACGCCACACGGTTAAGTGACTGGAATATCTTTCCACTTAGTCACAGGTGAAGCTCCTTTAAATCTGAATGAATCACGTGGAGGTGACTCAGGATTTGTGATCTATCAGACTATAAAGTCATCTGCATGACAGAAAGTGTTTACATTGGGCTTACAGGAAGGCGTGTTTATTTGACTTTTGAACCGATTTGTTGGTTAACAGCTTTTATAATCACTTATTATAACATATAACCGCACTTCACATTGCATTACACTAACTAGAAAGTAATCCATCTTAAAGGTCTGACTCACAAAAACAAGATAAATCTGGCAAGAGAAAATGTTTTCCTTCATGTTGGAAAATGTTTTTGTCTCAAAAAGCAACAAAAAAAAATCTTGATTTTCTTTTTACTTTTTGGGACTTCAGGGGCTCCGTAGCTTTCACAAAGTTTATTTTGTAACCAACATTTTAATTGTGTTATTTATTTAAGTGTATTGCTTTAATCTTTATCGGTCGAGTTCTACTTTAAATTATCACCAAACCGTGTAAATGTCCAGCTGAAGTTAATTTCTTTCAATATCTTCTTATCTCTGACCAGCACTGTAAAACCCAAAGATGTACATTGATTTAAATGCAAGAGGAGAAAAGCCTTTAAGTTCTGCATTTCTGTCTGTGAAGGATCTCAGTCAGCAAGGTCATGGTATTCCAAAGGTGAATCCAAAAGATCGACTGGACTCTTACTTTCAACACTTTTTTAATATCACCCAGCGCTACATTTCCAAAACAAAGGATTACCAAAAAGATCCTGCAGTATTTGTTTCACATGTCCTGCTGCACAAAATCAACTATGAATCATTTTGTGATTTTAAGCTGTGCAAAGTTTAAGTAGTGCAGGTTATGAAAAGCAGGATGTTTACAGTAGTGACAACCGCACATCATCGCTTCAGTTCAATTCAAAAGGCTTAATGGAATGAAAGTTCTAAATAAACTTTTTGCAGATGTATTGTAAAGGCAGGCAAAGAAAACAAATGCACCCACAGCCCAGGTCTGTTCAGGTAGAATACCTGAGGTTTACCTCAGCAAGTATGCACTGCTTCATCTAATTGGTGTGTTTTTTGCGTGTAGGCCTGAGGTAAGCTATGTTTGTTACCACAGATTTATAGAGATCTCCTTTCCTTTGGATTGTAGAGAAAGTACTACAATCCAACAACAGACGAGGAAAAAAAGGAGAGAGAGAAAAAAAAGCATGCCCTTAAAAGCTGAAAGGGAAGGCTTGTTTTGTCGGGTCGCAGATGTCTTTTTAATCCACTTCCTTTGGCTGTGAAGTTTCTAACTTGTGGACATAATAGGTTGTCAGTGTCTCTGTTTGATGGCGGGGAGAATCTACAGCAATCATAGCTGAACTCCATCTTCTCACATGAAGAAGCAAGAGGGCGACCCTGCTGTACTTGGTCCTATTTTTCCACTAGTTGTGCCAAGATTTTAAAGCCATACCTCAGTGGTTAAAGCAGCAGGGTCATAAAGCTGCGGGCCACCAGTAAAACGACTCCTTTTACATTTTAATTGAGCTACTTAGGTTAACAGAAGGAGCCACAGTATGCATTGTTTAGAATAACATGTCTTCCTCTCTGTCTCCATGGTCTGTTACCTCCGCCAGCTGATACGTCTTGGGAGTGATGCACTGGCTTCCCCTGGTTGCCATGGTGATTGCCTCGGCCCTGCCCTTCCCTCACAACCCTGTGTCCAGGATTGCTGCTGCGACCGCCGAGCCCGGCTTTGACGCCCGCAGAGAGCGCCGTCATGACCAGGCCGCTGGCCTCGCAGCTAACCCCTTGGACTACAACTTCCGTGGAAATGCCTCACAAACGGACTACAACATGGTTGACCCGGTCAGCCAACAAACCAACCGACAAAACCTCCAGAACTTTAAGGATTACATGAAATCCTCCGTAGACACTTCAAACTTAGAAGTCGGAAATCAAGGAACTTACCAGTTTGATAGCAACTCAGGCGCTAATGACAAACGCAGAGTTAGTTTGGATGTTCCAGCAGAAGGAGGAACACTCAGTATCAAGGATGTTTCTGAGGATAATTCTCTACCAAAGGACTACAATGCTGACGGCAGCAGGCAGGATTACTCAAGTTTTACAGACTTTACCAAGAAGGAAAACCTTCAGGACTCCACGGACAGGTTGCAGGTTTCTACTGCTGGATCTCAAAATGCTGTCAATCCTGCTGCTAGTCTAAAGATTCAGACGGAACCAGAACAGAAAGCGTCCGTCATTGGGACAGCTGTGGGAGGAAGCGGTCCTTCCGAGGAGAATCTAAACCTGGAGGCGGGGCTGGGACTTGGAACCGGGCTGGACTTGGAAGCAGACGAGATGTTTCTGGATGCACATCCTCGAGTTCTTTTCTCGCCTTCCCCGTCGCCTCCACAACACCCTCCTCTCCTGCTCATGTTGGAGAGCGGTCTGATGGAGGAGGACGGGGACAAGGAGGATCAAGAGGACTTGGATGGACATATTGAGGGTCACGGGGACCGGGCACTTGACAGGACCACGACTCTTAGTTGGGCAGAATCTTCCCGAGTGACCGCTGCCCGTGCCGTCAAAAGGGATAAACGCTCTCACCTCTTGATCGACAGACGGCGAGGGGAGAAGTCGGTGTGCGAGTCGGAAAGTGTTTGGGTCACTAACAAGTCGACCGCCATGGACTCAAACGGCAATAGGGTCACCATCTTGCAGGAAATCCAGACCCAGACCGGCCCGCTCAAACAGTACTTCTACGAGACTCGCTGCCGCCAAGCCGAGCAGCCGAGGGCCGCCGGAAGGGCTAGGGGCGCGTCGGCGAAACCGATGGGGACGGGCGTAGCCGGAGCCGGCTGCTTGGGCGTGGATAAAAAACAGTGGGTGAGCGAGTGCAAAGTCAAGCAGTCGTACGTCCGGGCGCTCACCAGAGACGAGAACAACCGAACCGGGTGGAGGTGGATTCGAATCGACTCATCCTGCGTCTGTGTGCTGCTCTCCAGAACCAATCAGGCGCTGGCGAGAGAGGTCTTGACGAGGAAGGGGAGGGGCTGAGACGGAGAGAGATGGTGGGAAGTGGAAAGTGACACAGAGCAGAGCAGCTGTGACGTCTCAGCCTTCCCCTCCGCCAAAACTCCAAAGACTTATAAAAAAAACAAAAAACAAGACGACCTCAACACTAGATCTTAGGGAAAAATGTCATATATAGATTTTTCTTTGAAAGTACTGTTTTTGTATGTTTTATCTTTCATAATCTAAGTTATTTTTGATTAGTACATAAGCATGTGTATGTCTTTGATATTAATATATTCCTTTATATATATGTGTACAATATGACACCAGTATACCTTTATGTACGAAGCTATGTTTATCTGTGTGTATTTATAGAAGAAGTCTTCATGGAGTGGTAGGTCTCTCCAGTGTCTGATGAAAATTCCAGCCTCTCTCGGCTCTTCTCTGGGTTGTGAGAGGAAGGAGCGCCACCTACTGAGGCTCCACCTTACTGCTCCCATATCACCATGAATACTGCGACAGTGCTTTCTAGAGTCTCATGAGAGGGAACTGTATTAGATAAAGAAATACAGCATGGGCACACTGAAGCGGGATTTTCACACTCAGGCCGATGATTTGACAGGAATACATCTCCAATCCGTGAAACTTTGTTCAATGTGGTTCATGAATGTTAAACCATGTGGTTTGTAAATTATACGACACCCCCAAACTAATTTTAACATCTGCTGGTTTGTTCGGTTTGCCTGCCAAAATTTGGTAATAAAGGATCTTTGTACTCAGCAAATTCTTTTCGCACAGCTTCACTGATGTAAACATGCAGAATTGAGTTGAAAAAAGCATGCAGGGATGTGTTTACAAAAGTCATGATTTCAAGTGCTCCGCTGCAGGGAAGTCGTTTTAGGGTCACACAATATAGGATCAGATCAGCACAACTACTAGTTAAAACAAGGCGCTGGTGGCGCAGTGGTGAGAGCGCACGTCCCATGTGTGGAGGCTGCAGAATCACCGACCTGTGGCTCCTTTCCCGCATGTCATTACCTACTCTCTCTCTTCTATCTCTCATATAAAGGCACAAAATGCCCCAAAATATATCTCTAAAAACGAAACATTATTGGGCAATTTCTTTCTTCTTTTTTTAATGTTATTTTAAGGCCTTTTTGCCTTTGTTGGATTGGACAGCTGAAGAGAGACAGGAAATGTTGAGATGAGAGAGTAGGGGATGACATGCAGCAAAGGGCCAAGGTCGGATTCGAACCCACAGCTGCTGCAATGAGGACTATACAGCCTCTGTACACGGGGCATGTGCCATAACCGCTAGGCTATCAGTGCTCCAATTTCTTGTATTCAACAACCAAAAAAACTGCAAAGACGCCAATCACATTATCTAAAGTAAATTGCACAACTGGCAACATTTCGGTGCTGAAAGGATCATTTCCAATGTTTCATATTTATACCAAAAATTTAAGCAAGCTCCGTCACACTGGCAGCTTTAACAACTTGTTTCTGTAATTTAGAAAGCGCTCGCTCTTTCTATAACGGCAGCTTTTTAAAAATATGATTGAAGATATGTCATGTTTTTTTTTTGTTTTTTTTTAGAGCTTTGGTTCTTTCTGATACTATCCATCATTTAAACAACAGAAGATTGAACCAGTTGAGAAAGTGGAATTGTTAAGTATCAAAAACTGTTGACATCCTTAGCCGATATTTTCCTGCTCATTTTCAAGATTAAACTAGTCCAACTGATTTAGAGTCTCTGTTGCTGTGGTGTTCACACGTTCACAGCTACAGCTTCATAAAACGCAGTTATCATAGTTTTGTTACTTGAAAGCAGCATTGTCATCATTTAAGAAATACTCAACAAGTCAAAGTCCTGCTCATGTCGTTGGCAAAATTGAACATGCAAGGTAGCTTAGTGGCTAGCTACACCTGGTAAATGATGCACTAAGTTGATTGTGATATACAGTATGCTATAACTCAAAAGTATAAAAAAAACAAGGGTGCTGGTAGCCTAGTGGTTAGCGCTCCAACCCTGTGTACGGAGACCATAGTCCCCCAAAAGGGCGGAGCGGGTACAAATCCGACCTGTGGCTCTCCTCCTGAATGTCATTACCTCTCTCTCTCCGACTCTAAAAGGCTCTAAAAGCCCCAAAATAAACCTAAAAAAAGGTAAAAAAAAAAAAAGAAGCTTGAATTCAAATATTTGACATATTGGATATTATCTTAAAATTGTTACTACAAATTTTCTGAACTCTAAGCCTGCAGGAAAATAAAAATAAAATCGGAAATAGGAAATAGAGAAAGTTTGCGATGATCAGCAAATCCACCTGGGTTGCTTTATTTTTTTTTTCTTTTACATCACCATTTTAATCATCATCAATATTGTTTATTTTTCCAGATGATATTTTCAATTTGTATAACTATCACTTTAATCATGGAAATCTGATAAATCATTGCACAATTTGTTCTCAAAATGTACACATACAGTAGCATATTTGAATGACCATTTTCAATGTCTCATATTTTTACTTTTGAAAACGAGTTCAAAAGAAGTCAAGAATGAACAGAACATGTACATACGCTTATCCAATACATACCTAAAGAAAAATAAATAGATATCGTAAAAAAATCAAAAATACAACTGAAAAAAATACACACATTTTACAAATTGATCCCCAGGCTCCCGACCCCCTGTAGGTTTATCATACAGATATATATTTTTTTAAAGACACCTTATATCATCTTCACCACCAAAAAAATGTTTTTTAGGTCATTGTTGTTTGTTTGACATGCAACGTAAGCACAGAGGCTAAAGGTTTTGTTTCCTGGGCTTCCTCGGGCTCGCCCTCTTTTCCTGCCTCGCTCTGATCCCCCCCTTCCCATCCTAACCCCCCCCCCCCTCCAGAGAGCTCTTGGTTTCTGTTATGGCTTGTGTGTGCAGTATAATGACCGGCATCTGTCCATCCTCTTTAGTTGTTTTTTTTTTTTCTTTTCTCTCTCCCTGTGAGTCGCTGTTTTGTCTCCCTGTCACCTCCCCCATCATAAGGATTACCCCCAGACCCTGAGCTGATGATTACAAGTCATAAACCCAACGACAGCATCCTGCAGGGCGAGTGAACAGTCGGACCAACATGTCCAGCATTCCTTGAGATATACACCGCTCCCGGTACCACTTTCTGATGGAATTCACTTTAAAACTAGTTTTCAATTCGTAATTTTATGGAATTTTCAAATTAAATTTTGTGCTGCAAGATTGTGAAAAAATCTAATTCTCTGTGTGTGTGTTTAGCTAGCTCTGCAGCTCATTAGGAAGAAAAAATGAATTGAAGTCCAATAATTTATAATCCATGTAATACAGTTGCTGGTTTACCAAACAGCTGATGGCTCAACAACTGTTATTTGAAAGTGAAGTATCCTGTAGATCTTCAGGGCAACTAGCTAAGCTAAAGAGCATTGTCGATGCAGGGAAGACAACAGACATATGGGATGTCCAAACTCATTTGAAAAATAATTGATTGAAGACACCCCTGTAAGTTTTTTTGAAATGGTCTTCCAACAAAATAGAAGACATCACCCAACTTGTTTCCCCCCACACACTTTAATCTCCTAAATCCAAAAGTGAGGACCTACAAACTCCGTTTCAAGTGCGTCTTTTCAGAAAGTGGTACGGGCACTAACTGTATGGAGTTCCTGCCTTCGACATCATAAAATGTACTAAACACAATGCCCCTGTGGCCTCGCTCCACCCTGTCCCCTCCACCTCGCTGCCTTTGATCTCTATAATGGCGTCCCTTCAAAAGAGATTACGCTGCCTATCGGCTTTCAAGGTGCCAATAGACAAAGCACGAGGAGGGTCCCCCTCTGATGTGGCCGGAGCTAAATGTTGGTCTGAATCCGGACGTGTTCGACCAATTGGGGGGGCACTCAGACGCCCCAGACAGGCCCATAGAAGAAGAATAGAGCCACAATGGCCGACACTGGACACCAGCCGACTCGTGAGTAGAAAGGATGTCGCCTGTGTTGTTTAGGGTTAAAACCGGTTTACCTCCATGCAGCCATTACTCCCACTTTACCAGCCATTCCTCTTGTTTTTTTGTTTTTTTTAACACCCTAACATTTACGCTGAGGTTAACTTCTCTCTCATTACAAACACCTGTTGTCAGGCAGAAGTCTTAAGGCGACACGTTGAGTTGTTTTACGGGAGAGTAAATGGCAGCGAGTGGTTTCCTCTGAAGGTAGGAAAATGAGCCCTGATATTACTAACTGTGCTGACTGTGTGCAGACAGGAATGAAGAGAGAGGAAACTGGCGCGACTGGCTTAAACCTAACCAACATTGGCGGCGTCCTCCATTAACCCCACGAAACAGTCACACCAAAGAGAGAGAGAGAGAGAGAGAGAGAGAGAGAGAGAGAGAACAGCTGATCCTTTTCAACCTCCCTAGTCTTTCCTCAGAAAATACATTCATACATTCTTCATGTCCTTTCCCCATCTTATTTCTTATCTTCTGTTATTGCAGGATGGTCAGGCCGATAGGTTTATCTTGTAGTTTAATGGTTATATTCATTGCTTCTTTCTCCGTGGACGAGCGAGAGGGTCCTCCAGTCCCAATCCGGTCAGCGCCCTGAGGAGAGAAACAGCGTTATTCCTCGCATCGCTGCGTCCGCGGCCTTGATTCAACTCTTGCCCAAATCTCTCTCTCTCTCCCCCCCCACCCCCCCCACCCCGCCAACCAACCAAAAAGCCCACCACTTAATGACCTCAGTGGGAACGATTTAAATCCCCAGGCTCAAATCCACGACATAAAAAAACAAAGAGCTGCAAAGCCATGTGTCAATGTGGGGCCCCGTGTGAGGAGAGACTCTGAGTTTCTTCCGTCACTGATGGATTAAAACATTTCCAGACAGTTTTATTAAAGTCGTTCTCACCTCAGCCCTTCAACAGGAGTACGTCCTCACTGAGGCAGATTCACCCCGGGCTCCAGAGTTGGCTGTCAGAGAGCGGGGGCGACACACACAGAAAGCGTCATTATCGGAACTGTAACGTCTGAAACAGCGCTGACCTTCCACAGGCATTCGTATTAAGACGGGGGGTGAAGGATAATAGTCTCCCTCCGTGCTTTGAAGCGTCTGTTCCTTGTTATTGCCGGCTTTTTTTGGTTGAAAGGAAACAGAAAATTCCACCGCAGAGTAATGGCACAGTAGCATGAAAACAACCAACCGCTCCAAGGTAAAGACTTTTGGTCTCGGAGCTTACATAACTTCAAGTGTAAGTACAAATAGCAATAGCACTTTATTTATGGAGCTTAACTAATTATAGATAGGCTCAGTTTGAAAACAAGTTCAATATGTTACGTTTTGATGATTTTATTAAACGTGCCTCTCTTAAACTCATCCAGACAGTAAACGTTTGAATCATCAGGCTCCTCAGGTGCTCGGTGACCTCGTGGTTCCACTTAGTCAGACTCTGTAACCCGTGGAGCATCTAATGGAGACTGTAAGGATCTATTTTGTAAATCTTACTTGGAAAAACAACCTTTTCGTGGAATACTTTACCTGCAGAGCTCAAACTGGAACCAGACCGGAGTCATTTTAAACTCAAACTGAAACAGCGCTCTAAGAGGACTCAGTCTTGTAGTCATGTGTGATCTTCTACTTCCAGTTTTATTTTGTCTGGTGGGTTGAAGATCAAATGGCCTTGGATTCACTCGTGTATGTTCACTAGAAGAGGAACAAACTTCCACAGGACTCCGAAGTAAAACTGATGAAACAAGTTATTTGAATCCACACTTTTGTTAAATCTTCTTACAGGAGGGTTCAAAGTGAAGTTCTCCTAATCAGTAAACTCAGTAAGGAAACCATGTGGCTCGCTCCTTAATTCATCCTCAACTGCCTGAATCTCTTCTAACCCTCTCACGGCACCGAAGAGCTTTCTCTCTTAAAGTGACAGTAACCTACCTCACTGCTCTAATGGAAAGCTACCATAATGCTAAAGCTTCCCTGTATCAACTTGTTGACACATAAAGCTGCAAAGTTTATAAGTTGTATTAAATAAAATAAAACATTTGCAAACTCTTTTAAAAATTCTTTTTTTTGTTCATTTTTTCCAAGCAGAAATGTCAGGACATTTTCTGTGTGAAGCGTCTTAAATGTGGGATTTTGAGGTTTTCCTTTAGTTTATTACAGTAAATGAGGGGTTTGGAGGTTTTGGACTGTTGTTTAAACCACATAAGAAACTTTTAAAAAGTCCCTTTTGGGCTCTTGGGAATAGTTTTGGACAGTTGACAGACTAAACGATGAATCTTAAGATTGTAAACTACTCGGATGACGAATCACAGAAACCCAAACTTTAGCCATTTCCGATCAGTTCTACAGGATAGCTGCACCTGATCACAGCTCGCCCTTCTTCCACGCTACAACCGACCTTTAGACCTGATTCCTGTGGCGCCCTTCACGTGAGTAACAGCGTATTGAGTAACAGGTCATCCTTCACACATCCGTCTAATTCAGGACGCGCCTCCGAGGAGCCGAACATGAGAGCGAAAGTGTCAGAGATCACAGGTGGTACTCACCATCGCTCTGAACCTTTCTCAGGGTAACGGAGGGCGTGGCGATGGCTGAGGCACGGAAGTTAGCAGGCAGGGTCTCGGCGGAGTCGGAGGTCACGCCCCGGAGGTCCTTCTCCCTAAACATCTTCCTCCAGGAGGGCGAGCGTGTGAACGTCTTCGTTCCATCCTGACAGACAGACGGACGGACAAGAGAGTGTGTGAACAAAAACATGGCCGCTCACATAATCCATCTCTCAGTCAAACTTTTATTTTTAAACCTCTTCAAGCCGATTAGCATGCTGACCTCATCAGGTCGTCTCTCCGTTCCCATGGAGATGAGGGAGTTGTACTCTTGCTCCAGGAGCTGTCTGGCCTGCAGGAGAGAGGTGATGCAGAGCTTTGAGATTCATTTGGACTCTGCAGATGACACATTTTTTTCAGGACGGGTGTGCTGCGCTGGCATTCATTAGCTCATGTTTGAACTGCTTTAAACCAGATGAGGTATTTTAAGCCCTTTATTAAAGACAGCAAAGAGCGCACAGGAAATTAGACACACAGAGATGCAAAAGGCCACACGGGATTGTTCATGGTTGAAGTCTAAACTTCCAAACCAACAGGGCACCCTGGTGTGCTACTTTCATTATTTAGATTCCTATATCATACTCGGTCTTATGTGCGGCTCAGAGGATCAAAAGATATTTAAATTATGTTCTGGTTTAAGAACAGAGAAATGGTTTAAACCACATATTGTCGTGATCATTAGGGCTCTTGCATGACAAGGCTAGTCTGTCTTATTATAGGAAAGGCTCCATCATAAATATAGGAAAATGAAATGCTAATATAGATGCTTTTAGAACTAAATTGTGAGGAAAACAGTCGAATAACATGTGTTTAACCTCTAAGTTCCAGGTTCCTGTCTATGGAGTCAGGTGACTTTGAAACCAGCGATGCAACACTCGGTTCTGGTTAAAGTTAGGACGCTTTGCAAAAACGTTGAATAAAGACAGACTGATGATTTACAAACACTGAATCCCCATTTCCTATTAAGAATAGCCCAAAGCAAGCATATCAAATGTTGATTGTTTTTGGATAATTAAATGACCATGTGGAAGTTGATGCAGGCAACATGTTTCATCTATAAAAAAAAAAAAGTCAAACCGAAACGACCAGTATTCTGTGGAATGTTTAACCATTCTTACTTGATGTCAGATTTCAGCTTTTGAGCCTTTGTTGTGTTTTTTTTATTTCATGGCACGCCAAATACTTTCAATGGCTAACAAGCTGGCACAGCAGGCAGACCGGTTAATCAACTCTTTTACGACGGTGTCATGCTGTTTTTACACGTGAAGAACAGAGTTTGGTATTGTCTTGATGAAATAAGCACGGCTCTCCCTGCTAAAAGTTGAAGATGAAATCCACAGATCATTTGCAGTTTTAAGTTGAGAAAGTGTTGTTATGAAGACCACACTGAATGAGACCAAGACCCGAGACCAGGACAAGACCAAGACATTTAGGGATCGAGACCGAGCCAAGACCAAGACCAAGGCAGGGCGAGAACGAGACAAGACCAAGCTCATAAATATCACAGAAAAATAATCAACTTGTGTGCAGTGGGCGTGTCACTTACAAATACTGTAACACCAAGAAGGTTGCGGCCTTAACCATGGGAATAAGAATCAAACTACAAATGAATTGAAGTTATTTGTTTTTTTTTTAGAAAGAGACACTTTCCTTCTAATCCTAGTAATAACTGAAATGAATAGCCTTGCAGTGGTGTTCTTGACCGGTCTTGATTTATAACCTAGTAACCAAGACAAGACCGAGTAAAAATGCTTTCGATTCCAAGACCTTCAAAAAGTCTTGAGACCAAGAGCAATTTGGAGTCCTACCACACCACGTTGAGAAACATAATTAATAAATCCCAGCGCAGTCTTTTCCAGTCTTTCCTAACACTGTCCCAACTTTTTTTTGAATCGGGTTGCTGGCATCAAATTTGAAATAGGCCTCTTATTTTTAAAATTCAACTTTTAAATTGTTGTCTTTGTGCTTTTTTGTATTATGGGGTTTCAGCGTTTTGATAATCATCAAAGTCCAAACTATTTTGGATATGGGATTGTGTGAAAGGCACTTTAAAATGATCGTCTGAGCCCGTCAGCAGCATTAAAAGTGAAAAGTGCTTCTAGCTGAAGATGGATTACAATGCAGTCACTACATCCTGTTTCACAGCTGCAGGATGAACTGAAGCATTCCAAAACTTTTTATACGGTCTTTAAAATATAAGACTTAAAGATTTTATTGGGGGAAAAAACAGACTGATTAAAGAAGAGAAGCTGATTAAAATAATCTATTTGAAGGGGATCTTACATATGAAGATATTTACTCTAATGTCCCTTTATAAAGAGGTATAGACTAGATGCATCCTCCTCAGTGACCACCTGTCCTGTACCTGTATGCTCTGATTGGGGATCTGCAGCAGCAGGGCCAGGTCAGTGAAGTCGAAGGTGTCGTCCAGAGCTAACAGAGCCCCGTGGACGCCGCTCTCACGCAGGTTGTCGGCGTACTCCTTCAGGCCGAGAGTCTGCACCCAGCACATCACACGCTCGTTGGACCAGACCATCACATCTGGGAGAAAGAAGGAAGAGGGTGAGGAGGAAGGAGGAAGGAGGAAGGAGGAGGAGGTGGGGGGAAGAGCAGGCATCCATCTGCAAACAGCAAGCTGTCTGTGCTCTGTTTTTATAAGCCAGATCAGGTTTCTTAATATTCTGCTCGCTTCCTGAAGCTCAAGCTGGATGAAAGATGCGGTGCTGCTCTGGCTTATTAATCTTCTTCCAAAGGGCCATTATTGCCAATGACGTATCAACGAGTGATCAAGAGAAATGGTGAAAAGGTCTCCTCTTAGCTAATGGGTTCACTAATATGGACTGCGATGGTCAAGCCATTCATCAGACAAACAAAAAAAAAACCCACACACTTCCGAACTCCGGGAATTCTTCTGGGAGGAAATCAGCCAAGATGAATTGACTGTAAATGCACAACATGTGTATTCTTAAGCAGAGCAGTGGGAGAGCAGCAGATTTGGGTTTGTTTAATGACCGAGAGTGTTGACATTTATGTAATCATTATCCAGCCAAATTGCTCTAGAAAGCTGTGGTTTATAATCTCTTGGGGGGGGGGGGACATTAACTAAGAGGTGGTCCAAACATATCCCAGCCGGCACTGCGTTAGACAGCGGAATCAAAGAAAATGTGTGTTTTGTTTACCGTTATCAAGTTGTTGTGGTTTTTTTCTCATTCTAAGCAGGAGTTTTCTTTGGTCTAAATGCCAAATCTGAGGTAAGGAATCAAATGATTTCAATGGTTTACTGAGTTTGTGAAGCTTTTTTCCTTTCCACATTTAAATGTAAACTTTTAAAGAACATGTAGCCACAGCTTCCACTTTTGATGTAGAATGAAATAACAATAATCACTTTATGTTGAGAAGCATGAAGGGATTTGGATGATGCTTGTGAAGATGTTTTTTTTTCTACAATTTCACAATTAATTTAGAAGACGCTTTTATCGAAAGTGATGTACAGTTCATCAGAGAGTAAGAACAACACAAGCAACGATCTAGAGAGGAGGAAACACTTCAGTATATGCAAACAAACAGGGATGAGTCCGATCAGACACACAGATGATGAAAGGCAATGCACAGAGGCAAAGCACAACATCGACAGCTGTTCTTGAGTTTTAATCAGCATCATAACCATCCTAAAATCGCCATTATTAAACAAAACCATGTCATCATCATCATTATCGTCATCATAATATCATTAAAGTTGCAGGTATTCTTTAGCTTTTTCTTAAAGGTGCAAAGGGACTCTGCGGATTGAATGGAGTTTGGAAGTTCCCCGAATTAATTAGGTTGAAGTCAATCATTTGAAGGTCAGTTTACTACTTTATGCAGATGATATACTCGTATTCGTTGGAAATTTATTTAAACGTTTGTACACCTTGTCCATTTTTATTTTTACACTATGGGGTCTAAATGAGAGCTCCAAAAAAGATACATTCTGTAATGTTGTCAGACAATCAGATTAAAACTCTGAGGGCCTGATTCACAAAAGGATTGCGTGGCTTTTGCGTCTGCTAAACTGTGCAAATGAGTAAAAACGACACAGTCTAATTTATCTTTCAAAATATCCCATGTACTGTATGCTACTACTGAAGAGCCCCAGTCGTGGAGACTAGCAGTAAACAAGGATCAAACAAAAGTAACCTGAAGAGCAGTGATTCTTAATCTTGAAACAGGTCTTTCATGGACTGACCAGAATAAATATAAGGCTTTTATTTCGATAAGAAAATGTCTTTAAAGCAGAGCATTAGCATTCAGCAGATAGCTTGAAGGGATCATTCCTGAACAAAACATCACTCACGTGTCAAGATCTGGGATGATGCACTAGATACTAGAAGTCATGCGTGCTTTTCTTTTTTAGAATACAACATCATTTCGAGGTAATCCACCATTTCCGGGAGATCAGGCGCTAACACCAGAATATTACCAGTGGAGATTTGGGATGGGAACCCCCCCCTCAAAACGTCATAAATAAATGTGTGATGACTCCATTTGAGATTGGATTTTCTGAACAGCTGCCCTCAAGGAAGACATCCCTGGATTAGTGAGGTGTTACATATTTTCTTTTTCTATCATTGATTGTATTTTTATTTTGCAACACAGATTACAATGTAATATCCATGATGTTAGGCATGGGATTTTTCTGATGAAGACCTCACATGTTGGTTAGATTTTGTCCCAGGGTCCCCCTTCTGATTGCATTTTCCCATTTTCAGAGTGACCAATGGCCAAAATGTCCATGCATTCAGTCACTGTGCTACTTATTATTATGAAATGAATTGTCTTGGATCCCTTGGAAACCCCCCTGATCCTCCTCAACCTGACATTCAGAACCCCTGATTTAAGGGATTCACTATTTAGCAAGATGTCTTTGATGGTTTGGGAGTTTTCCTGGATGGATAAAATACCCAAACCATGTGCAAAAGTAGGTAAATACTGGGTTGATAAAAGACCAGTAATGGTTATAATCAGGTTTTTTAAAGGTTTGGTAGGTATGCTTTGAACAAGACAATAGCACAGCATGAAAGGAGGAATTAGTTGAGTGGATGAGGTCAGCTTGATGGGGGCACGAGTAATGGGATAATGACTTAGGCTTACCTTTGTTCTGGTGGACGCTCTCCTCTCGCCTCCTCTCCAGCTCCTTTCGATCGTAGTTGAGACGCTTCAGGCACATGATGCCGTAATGCAAGCTGACCCTGGGAGAGGTCAAAGAGGCAGAGGGAGGTTGAAGCAGGTTAACTGAGGGGCGTGTTCCCACTCTCACCTTCACTCAGAAAGTATTAACACAACCTGACTCCTTTTGACCCCTTAAGCAAAGTTAAGCCTAAAGACACACACCTGAGCAGCCAGTGTCACATCAGCGGCAGCACTCCCTAAATATCTTTTAACACCCTTCCCATTAGTGGCAGAAACAGAGCCTCAACAGAGGAGAATGAAAGTGAGTTCTTCGTTCAATCAAAGCAAGAGTTTTTCTTGATTTTAAATGGGAAACTGATGAAAGGAAAGGTTTTGGCGTTTAACTGAGTTTGATGGTTTGTTTTAGTTTTTTGTGGGTTTAAAAATCAAAAATTGGTATAAGAAAATGATTTACATTTTCTTATGTTGAAACGCTTAATATATCTTGTTAAGAGTTAGAAACGGGGGGCGCCGGTAGCCTAGTGATTAGTGCGCAAGGCCCATGTACGGGGGCCTCCAAGCGGGCAGCCCCGGTTCGGATCTGACCTCCACCACTTTCTCACACCCCAATTTCTGATTCTGCCCACTGTCCTATATCTCTAAATAAACGCAAAAAAACTTGGAAATTCAGCCGCCGCTCTCACTTCTGATAGTGGATTGCATAATAATAACCCCTAAAACATGGGATGATCCTGACTAAAAGGATGTAACTCTTCATATTGATCTAGTTTAACTGAGGCTGAAGTAATTGATTTGACATTATGCAGATGATACACTCTTATTCATGGGACATGAGTAAGATCTGCAGAAGATGCTTTAAGGGTACTTCCAGTGTTTATAAACCCTTTGTGTGATGTTTCAGCCTTAATGACTAACAGGTGCAACAAAGAAAAAGGACCATACCCCTTCAAAGAATTTCAACATCCTGAAGTGATTGTTATCGTTGCGTTGTCAGACAGTGACTTCAGTGAGTCATTTAGCAGGAACAACAAGATGTTGAAGGGTGTTGGAAGTGGAAACTAGATTCAAATCTTGTTTGAACAGAAGTTCCAAAAAGTGCAGTTACTTTAAATCTTGGTTCAACCGATATTTCTTATACTGACCAAATTTAAATGACGCTTGTGCTGCAATGAGCACATGGCTATGAAGGAGAGTATTAGTACTTAGAGGGAGATCCAGAAGAACATGTGAGTTATGGTTGATGCAATCTTGGAACCCATTGACAAACTTCTTCTATCATCGTCTGAGAAAGACCATGTGTGGCTGTGGGAGAGGATGTGAATTTCTCAGTTATTATGGTGAAGCCGGCGGTTTGTTTAAACAACTTCCAGGCGAGTGTTCATTTTCATGTGGCGTTTAAGTCTGAAACAAATGTGCAGTCCTTTCTTTGTCCGAAAAGAAATGATGCTAACGATGGAAACTTGCATGTCATTAGCGCAGGCAACATTTCGCCTGTTTTCTGTTGTCCACACGGAGTTTTCTGATACGTAATTGGACTACAAATGTACTTCAAACAGAAACCAGAACAATTCCCAGGCTGAAAATCCAGACTCCTCTGTGCAGATTCCACCTTTCTATGTAGAATCTGTAAATAGAGCTTATAGTTGCAGAAGTGTCGAGCTCTACCTGTGGAAGCTGTCCACCATCTTTAGCTGTCCTCTCAGCTCCTTCTTCGTCAAGTGGTCCAGCATGCGAGCATCCACCAGGGACTCCATGAAATAGCTGCGATACTGCGGCAGGCCGAGGCTGGGCAGCCAGTCGTTTCCCACCCACTCATGATTCATATCGCCGTAGGCCAGTATCTGGAGGGGGACAACCGCGAACGATCAACACTGGCTCACGCTCGGCTTAATATATGATGGCGCACATGAGTCACTGCGGGCTAGCCTCACTGGAGATCAAAATCGCTGACATTCATGATGTGTTAATTCTGACTTTTTGAGAAGGTGCAGTTGATCCTTACCTGATCCCAGCTGAACTCCTTCAGCTCCTGCAGCGCAAACATGAGAGAGAGGAGGCAGACAGAGAGAAACGGAGACAGGTAGAGAGAGAGATGTGGAGGTGGAGAGGGAGAAAGTGGAGCATGGGGTTGAGAGCAGGGTGGACGGATGGAGAGATGATGGAGGAGAAGCAGAGGAGGAGGGAGCAGCAGCAGCAGCAGGAAAAGAGGACAATAGGGAGGAATAGTGTGTTAGTGAACGGGTATTTAGTTGGAAGCAGTTCACACAGAAACAGCTACCAGAGGGGGAGAAGAAGATGCACAACACTAAGGCCTGGGCCCACAAAGAAAGAAAAACAGAGACATAAAGAGAAAGAAATAAAAAAAAAAGGAACAAAGAGAGGAAGGGGGAGACCTGTCAACATGATTAAGACTAGACAAGAATTTTAAAATAATTCAAAATTGAGTAAAATAATTATGAAGAACTTAAAAAAGGGTTTTTGTGACACAGACTGGACAGAAGGCGACACTGACCGGAGGCTTGGTGGCTGCGTTTAGGGACTCCATCTCTGCGTGGGTCATCCACACGTTACTGGTTGACTGAAGAAATTAAAGAGAAGGAAACCATTCAATCAAAAGGCACTGCACACAAGTAGGGATTAAAAAACAAAAAAGAGAAAAAGCAAAACAATTCAATGAATTCAATTGTCTGTTAAGAAAACAAGAAAATGTCATTTCTGAGTTAGAAGAAATATCAACTTTTTAAGATAATTAAAGGCAAATAAAGCATGAAACTAGTGAATTGCTTCAATGTACAAACTGGTTTGTTAAAAATAGGAATTGACTGCTTTGATTTCAGCTATTAGAACCTTAATTTCCCTTCTTTTGCAGCGCTTTCTCTTCCTCGCCTAAAGCACTGACTCAACACTGCTCTGCCAAAAAAAAAAAGCCACATCAGAAAATATTAACCAACCACAACAGCAGACTGCTTTCTCGTTGCCCTGGTGATTAGATGAACAAGAGGTGCAGCTGGTTTGTGTAAAGTGACAGAATGAGAGCGTTCAACGTGTTGAGGAGTATGTGTGACTGATCACTTCTTCCCATTATTGTGATTCCTGCAGAAAACATGAAGCCAAACCATGAGCAGACCCTGGTTTCTTTGGTTTAACTTAACTCCTTCTTCCTTGGAACCCGGGACATTGGAGCAACAATGTGTGTGCGTGCGGCAGTTTTACTACACTTTTCAACATCTGGTTTGTCTTTGTGGCTGTGTGGGAAGGCTACACTTTGGGAGAGTGTAGCTTTTTGTGTTTCATTTCTAGGTGACATCGGTCAAACTTTGCCATGACAAATTCAGATTCCTTTCGTTCTTCTTTGGAAAATATGAATTGCTTTTGACATTTATCACATGCAGGATACATTTAATGTAATAAAGTATGTAATATGTTCCTTGGGTGACTTTTCAACTCAGTCAGAAATAAAAGGCACACTATAAATGGAGGCTACAGTCCTCGAGATAGTGGTCGCAGGTTCAGCCCTTTGAAGCATGTAAACTCCACTCTCTTCCCCACATCTCTTATTTCTCTTCAGTTTTTCCTAACGTAATCTTTAAAAAGATATACATGTTTCTGCCTTTCATTTTTCCCTCAGGAGCTCCTGCAGCTTAACACATTTGACAAACATTTCTTTTACAAATTCATCTTAACAAAATCAGTTGTTTTTTTTCATTGTATTTCAGATAATTTTTCATGTAATTTTCTACGGAAGCCTAAAGAATCAAAAAAAAAAAAAGAAGGACATCCTGGGGATCCATTTTCTTAGTTTGATCAATTTCAATTTCATTTGTGAAAGTTGAAAGGAGATGGAAAAATGGATAATGAGGAAACGTTTTGATTTATTCATTATTATTTCTTTAAGTTTCTTTTATGTGTGAAATGGGCGAAGGAATAATGTGTTGTTGTAATTCTAATTTTGACCACAAGAGGCTTAAGTGCACCAGTGACCCATGAACTTGGAAACCTTTTCAAGAAATCTTAGAAATCTTTAATGATTCCAACTGACTTTAAATTTCACCATTCACTCCAAACAAAAGGTTGCTTCTACTAAACGTTGTGTTAGAAAGCTAGCCAACACTTCTGTCACATCTTTTTTTGTGGCTCTATATGTGTTTAAGATTTTGTTTTCATCATTTTCCCTGTGTTAAAAATTAGTAAATTAGAACTTTATCCTGGAAAGCTTCTATTTCATTAATCTAACTTTTAAAAAACTATCGTCATAAACCCTCAATTACACAGAATATATTTTTTTCTTTCATATTAACGACAACACCCATTATACTTCAATCAAGGCTTCCTCACTTTATATCTTATATGAATGCTAGACTGTGATTTTTTAATCACATCTCTGTGGTTATTGGATTTCTTTTTCCTTCATGGTAAATCAAAAGTTTCCTCACAGAGCGAGTGCTGGCCGGGGCGGAGGGGCTCGTGAGGGACACCATCTCCTGGATGGCCAGTCGCAGTTTGAGGCGATGGAGTGGGTTACTGATGCCGATCTCCCTCTGGATCTCTGTGTCCGACAGGTTTGCCATGATGGCTCCGCTCTTCACGTTAGCGCGGCAGGCTGCGACGTACCAGGCCGGCATTCCCACCCACAGCTGGAAGGAGGCAGGAAAGAGATATGATAAATGGGAATTATAAAGGGGGAGTAAAATGGAACCAAAAGTTGTTATTTAAATTGTGTTCCCAAGTCGTTTAGGTTGCTGTGATCGCAAAGTACCTCCAACCAGGACACAACAGTTGGGCCGTCCCAAGATGCAAAGGGAAGTCCTTGGCGACATGCTTCCTCAAGGAGCTCATGCCTAAAAAGGACGAAGAGGAGCTCAAGTCAGGGATCAAAATCCTGATAACCAAATCGAGAAAAAGGAGAAACAAGTCACATACTTCTTCTTGCTGCGGCGGTCTTTATCTGCTGGACCCAGAGTCCCAGTCTTGTTTATCCCCATTGGGTCACCAGAGGCCATGTCTTCAGAGGGTGTGGAGGCTGGGAGTGAGATCAAAGGAGAGTTACAGATCATTTATATTCCTAAATCAAGCATTGTGTGTGAGCCCTACTTTATCTTTTATCTCTTTACCAAGAGAGGCCGATCCATCCCGCCCGGGTTGGCCCATCCTTCCTTTCTCCTTCTTCCCAAACAGCCGACCGATGGAAGACTTGATGCTTTTCTTCTTGCTGGCCTTGTGGAGAGAATCTTGGCTGCTGTTGGAGCTGCTCCCATCTGCCGAGAGACTGGGAGGGGCGAAATAAATCACCGGTGGGGAAAAGAGCCGGAAAAAAGAAGATTACAATGTATCTGAATGTCTGATCTATCCGCCCTACCTGCGAAACTCTCGGGGGTCGTCAAGCATCGCTCCGGGGTGGGTGAGGGCCATCCTGTCCAAGCGCAGAGCGCGAGGAGTGGGCGGAGGTGTAGAGTCGAGGAGAGCGAGGGACCGATCATCATCTTTGCTATTCTGAAAATTCAAATAGAAAAAAGGGGAATGAAGAAGAAGTAATATTTCTCTAAATGTGCAGTTGGATGGTTCATCCAGAAGGCTCAGGGGCTTTTGTTCCCTCCAAAGTAGCTCAGTCACTGAGACCTAATCTGCTTATTTTCTACCAGTGCAACAAAGATTCAAAACATTTAATTACACCAAGTTAAAATGTCTCTTGCGGATAAACTGAGACGTTATAAGTCAGAAAGAAAACATTAATGAAACCTCGTTATTTTTACTGATTCTCTTTATTCTCGTTGCTAATTTATCCGGCAATTAGCTGTCAAGTTTCAGATAATAATCTTAACGCATCACACGACCAGACAAAATGTCAACAACATGTGACGTGTGACGTGATGCAGATCTGTCCTCACATTCAAATCACATTTAAAAGTCAGTCCAACGTCTGAAAGGAGTGTCCCTGCCTTGAGCTAAACCACTGCTGGCTTCATATGAAAAGAATCTCATCTCATCTCATCTCATATGAAAAGAATAATAACACTTGCCATCACATTTCTGTGTTTTGTGCCACAGCGGCAGCCGTTGTTTTTTCTTCTGTTTTTAGTTTTTGGAGCTCTGTTACTGTAACAACACTGTTTTTTTTTTGGTCTTTGTATACGCTGAAAACTTGTTCCATAATTTGAACAATTCTTGCCATTCTATTCCGACCTCCCACATCAACATTACCGCTTTCACAATCGGCCGCTGACTGCGTGTTTTTCGTGTTTATTGCACCATCTTTTGAAATCCATCCGCCCATTTCAGAGGCACCTGGAACCAGTGTGTCTGGCACCAAGCATCACACCATCTACGAGGTATTTAATCAGTCCTGCCCAAATCTAACACGGTGCTGATGAATAACTTAACTCCTCCTGACCCCGTCTGCATGATTTACTTATGCTTTATTTACATGACTCACTGTCTGGAGGAGCTGTTTGCATAAACAGGGAGGTGGATACGGAGGAGGCGAGATAAAAAAAAATAAAAAATAAAAAACACAGATCAGTTCAACACAGATGGGAATAAAAAGTTTGCTTCCTTTTTTCGCTCCGGCGGTACCTGTCTGTCGTTCTCCCGGGCCGGGGAGTGAGGCAGGCGAGGGGTGGAGTGTCCGGAGCTCGGGGGTGAGGGGGAGGCCAGGGTGGAGGAAGTGATGGACGAGGGGATGAACCCCCGGCCTGTGCTGTCTCTCCCCAGGGTGGACGGAGGGAGGGGCGGACTGTCCAAAGCCACGCTGACCCGGCTCTCGATCTCTTCCGCTCTCAACTCCGTGTTCTCCTTCTCCTCCTGGATCAGTCTGGTTTTTTAAAATATTCAAGTTAAAACTGATGTGCCATACTTTCACACTTTTACTGAATTACACATTATTGTAAAATCAGCTTACTTTCGGTAGGAATGCCTGGTGTTTAAAAGAAACAAGGAATTGAAAAAACAAATCCAGAGAGGCGTGTTGAACCTTCTCCCTCCCTCTTATAACTGCACAGGGCCTCCTTACTTGATCTCCTTATTAATGGCCTCCAGCTGTTCCTGCAGCATGATGGCCAGTGTCTGCACGTCCGTCTGCCCGCTGGGAGAGTGCAGCCCAGAGCCGTGTCGATGCTCTCCGTCGTCCTCGTCGTCGGAGCAGCCCACATCGAGGCCTGGCTCGAACCCGGTCCCAAGCAGAGCCCCGCTGTCCCAGTCTGGGTACTGCGCACCGAGAGACAGAACGAGTTGTTATCCATTCGTTGAATCATTCAATTCTAAAAATACACGTTTTCAGCTATGCTACATGTAGCAGCAAAACTAGTTACCTTCCCATAAGTATGTTGTTTAGAACTAAGCAAATGTTGGTCTTCTTATAAACCAAACTGACTTTATTTATTGTAAAGTAATTAAAGTTAAATTGCAGTTTGTTGATCATAGTCTGTGAGTTTCACTTTCAAGTGGTAGGGATGTCTGTCCTCACCTTGGTAGCGTCCTCTCGGGCCGAGCTCCAACGGGCCCGGTGACTCCGCCTGACCACGCCCCCCGTGGAGGCATTACCGAAGGCGTCCAGGTGAGTAGTGGAGCCTGACGGGAGGGACCCGCCCCCGTGGGAATACCTCAACTCCAGAGCGCTACCTGGCAGAGAGCGACTGGAGAGATGGAGGTGGGAGATAAGATGGCACACGAGATAAAGTACCGCTGCAATTATCCCGAGGGAAGAATCAGGCTGTGACGGAAACTACAATGAGACGTTTTAACCACGGAAAAACTCACTCAACAACACAAAAGGCAGTATGTACAAGAGAACATAAGGTCATGACACAAACATTCAATCCAAAGAGAAAATATCTGAGTTCAAACTAGAAGAAGCACGTGAAACATGAAGAGAAGAAGGGCTTCAAATGCATATGGAATCCAAAACTTCTTTAAATTCATGTTCCTGAGGGCTTTAAAGGAGAGTGAGAATGATAGTAGTGCATGTTCATCAAGTCCACTAGTGTTATAATTGATGGTGTCTGACAAGATAAGACACAAAACATCACATTTTTACAGTCAGGCGAGGCCACGCTGATTTTTTTTTTGATGTCTTAAAGGCAGCCAACCTGGAATAGGAGCCCCCGGGCCTCGCTCTCAGCTGATCTAACTCCAGCTGAAGCCTTTCCAGCTCTGCTATCAGTTGGTCCTAGGGTTAAAAAAAACAAACAGACAAAGTCGGTGAAAAAGTGATGATTGTATGTCGAATATTTTTAAACTTAACAGTGAAGCCAAGACAGGGGCAGCCACCTTGTTTGCTAAGAGATCATCCTGGAGTTTCTTCATGTTGGACAGTTCTTCAGACAGGGCGTTCTGGAGACGGGAGAATACAAAACGTAATTGTTGTGTTATGACGAGCACAGTATATTTTGACTGAGATTTGTTAGGACAGATAGAAGAACTGGAGTCAAGCTGCAGATCTCATCTTTACACATTTTTGTCACCATATTTTACTCTACAACATTAAACTAGTGAGAGGTAACTTCATCAATCTTCAACTCATCCGACATCATGAGAGATGATTGTGATCATTTTTTCTGATAACAAGGCCTCAGCGCTGGCAAATAAAACATCTCCAGTTCTAGTTAAAAAAAAAAAAAAGAAGAAAAGCGAATCATTTTTTGTAAACATTTAATATTAACCTGAAACGATGTCATATGTTTTGGCTCGTATGGTTCGGCATCTTTTTCAAAGGGAATCCAATTGACTGTATTATATATCTATGTGGACGAACTCAGCGATGTCACCCACTGGTTTCTGAAGTGGAGTTTTGAAGTTGAACGATGGTGGTTGGCATATTGGAAATGCTACCCCCACCTAACTTTGGCTAAATCTAGAAACACCTGTTTTTTACTATCTACATTTTAAACACATAAAACACTCTCCTTCTAACCATCCCTAAAGCCCGTACCGAATAGGAAAAAGGGAGTTCAAGTGTGCTGCTCCCTCTTCTTGGAATCGGTTGCAAGATACTTTAAATCTTCGGGAGCTGGTTTCCTTGAATGTTTTTAAAGGTCGTCTTAATGATCTGGAGGCAGATATATCTGACTGTAGATGTTTTAACTAACTCGTATCGCTTTGTTGCTGATGACTTATGACAGATTCTGATGAACTGGTTCTTTTTGTGATTCCTGTGTTTATGTTCATTGCTGTTAAGTGTTTTATGTCTGAAACTCTGTAATTGTGCTGCTGCCTGTCTTGGCCAGGACGCTCTTGTAAAAGAGATTTTTAATCTCAATGAGACTTTTTCCTGGTTAAATAAAAAATAAAAATAAAAACTCTTCAAATGTTGGATGGAAAAACACTGATTGCTAGCTTTTAGCGAGCCAAATTTAAGTTTCTGCTGTAACTTCATGGTTATTATTTGCTGTTGTCACATAATAATGTACCATAAAAACAATGTAACATTAATATTCTCATGTTTGATGAGAAGGTAGGATTTCATTGGCTAATATAAGATAGGATGAAGCGTAAGGTGTCTGATGTTATTAAGAAGGCTGGTTTGTAATTCTGGTCATTGGACATTTATTTTGGGTACAGCTGATACATAAAGGGGATTGGATTTGTGGAGTTGTGATTGAGGGAATGGGACGATTTCTGACACTTTTTTTTAAGGTTTAGATGAAACCAAAGAGATGTTTTGAGTTTTGCTTCAGTCCGAGTTGGTCACCTTTTCCTCCAGGGCGGCCATTCTCTCCTTCAGATGGAGCTGCAGCCTCTCATTGGACTCTGACAGAAGCTTGTCCACCGTGTCAGAGAGGCGCTTGTTGTGTTCATCGTTCATCCTCTCCCTCTGCCTCGCCTGAGGGGGGAAGAGAGAGAGAGAGAGAGAGAGAGAGAGAGAGAAAGAGAGAGAGAGAGAGAGAGAGAGAGAGAGACAGGGTGAGAGCCAAAGAGGAGAAACTTAAAAAAAAGGGAGGGCTGCAAGGAGCGTTTATAACAAGCATTCTGCCTGACTGAGAGCGAGAGACAAAGATTTTTATCTGAGTGTGCCCGGTCAAATAGAGGGTTTAGAAAATTAGCGCGCCTTTGTGCGGCGTAAAGCCTGACAAAAGCAGTGGCGTGAAAGAAGGGGGAGGATGAAAAAAAAAAAAAAGAGCGAGAGAAAGATGGAAAAAGCAAGCATGACTCACCCTCTGTAGCTCCTGGTTCTTCTCCTCCAGTTGCGCCTCCATCTGTCGCAGTCGCTCCTCAAAGTTACCATGACGCTCCTCAGCCTGAGTGATTGGAGAGGAAGGAAGCGGGGTGAGAGCGTGCACCGTGTTGCGACAACAAAAAACAATCGACACAAAGGGAAACAGCTTGTTGACCGAGTCTCGGTCTAATTAGTTACCTGCCTGTACAGATCAGAGCGTAACATGAAAGATTGTTTGTCTGTGTCTCATCAGGCATTCATCTTATCCGCGCGGGGAGGACATGTTGCCCGAACATGTAGGATGTAAGTGTAGCCGGTGAAGCGGTTTGGCTACTGCGAGAGGGGGGAAAAAGCCTAAATGTGCGTCTTCTTGGCATGACTGAAAACTGTGTTTACAGGAATGCTAGAAGTGAAACCTACGAGCAATTAAAGCAGTCAGTCATGAAGAATCTGTGCGGCGTACAGTTCTTGACGTGTTGAGCACCCAAGGATCAAACAGCTGCGCTTGACGCCGTGCCCTGGCCCCGACTTTCATCTCCGATTGTTTGCTTATGGATTTCTGGCACCATTCGCCTGAACTGTTCGGTATTAATCTGTCGTTTGACATCTCATGTTCCGTTTCCCTCATGTATGAGAAGCGTGCACGCACAGACACATCGTATAGGTTTTATACCACACTGAGTTCGACATGCCCACACATGCCCACTCACGTACACACACTGCATGCAATTGTGTCTGTGCACAGAAGCATATTCTAACACGCACAGATTTGTGCACACACTCACGCTCGTACTGGAATTAATTTGAACTCTTTGAGGTTTTATTGGGTTGAGAAAACACAGTTTTTCAGATTTATCTGAGGTCTTTGTTCTCTGTGTCTAAAGCTGCACCAATGGGCCTCGAGTAGGTTCATGAGGTCTTGATAACCAAAAGCCTGATGGCGTCATTTGAAGACCTCGCTATCTTTGATATTTGTGTTAAAATATACATTTTTTGGTATTAACTTAAAGGAGCAATATGTAACTCTGACACCTAGTGTTTAAAACGGGTACTGGAGTCCAAATACAAAACACTGGAGAGAGCTGTCCACCCCCCCCGCCACCTCCTCCCTGAAGTCAATACTAACGCAGGTTGTCATCTCGCTGACACTGAAGCTTCAGTGTTTAGCCAGCTCTGAAACCTTTCTGCGTTCTAACCTCTCTCCATTTTTCAAAAGCATCTCCAATATTGATCCTAGTTTCAGCACGTTTTCTGCTTGTGGAGCTTTTTAGAAACATGCAGAGGCTTTTAAAGTCGAGTAGAATCACTTCTGTCTGAACCACTTCTCTTGCCCGCTTCCATCGCTGCAGCATCTTTTGGTTTGCAGTTTATCTGGCAAACTGAGGGGCAAAACGTCCGTGTGGGGGTCGCCTTAAAACCGTCGAGCTCCTCTGAAAAAATCCAGACCATTCAGGACTGAAAATGAAACTTAGAAGGAGGACATACTGACTGCCACGCTGTTGACAGAGAAGCCAGCACTTCAACATGTTTCCTCACTTCTCTATGAATGACAATCATATATTTGTGTCTATAGATCAGACGTGCATTTAATAACTGTACATTGAATCCCTGCAGAGTTTCAGTGTTTATTTGGCATTCAACCTATCACACCTGTCTGGTGATAAGAAAATGCACCTACTGATATCGTTGCACACAAACACACACACACCTTGTTGAGTGCTGCCACTCTCTGTGCAAGCTGGGCTTCGATCTCAGGCAGCGTCTCGGCCCTCTGCAGAGTCTGCTGCAGCTTCTGCTTGGCATCATCCAGACGCTCCTGAAGCTGCCGGTTCTTCTCCTCGCCCTGCAAAGAAAACAGGATGAAACTGGGAGCTGGAGGGGCAGCAGCAGCAGCAGCAGCAGCAGACGTGATTGAAGCTACCAAAGGGGGAAAAGAAAAAAGCCCCGATGGCACGCTCAGTGTGTCAACATTACGTTGCCGCCAAGCTGCCAATCAACGGTAAGAAACACGGGACACACACACACGGAGATGAAAGAGAGGTTTCCCACCTGTCTGTAGAGGGAGTCTTTGCTGGCCAGCTCGTTCTCTAGCTTGTCTTTTATGTCGTGGAGAGACGTCGCCTCCCTCTGGGCGCTCAGGTACCTGCAAACAGGGACAAACGGGGCCGCAGAAAGACGCAGCAGTGAGCGAGGCAACATTTTCCAGCAGGGGGCAAATAGAGTTCACAGACACGGGAGGAAAGTCACAAACCTGCGTTCTAACGTGGTGATCCTCTCCTCCATGTCTTCCCTTTGACAGAGAGCCTGGGAAAATGAAAGGAGAGAAAAATGAAAGATTTCAATGCAAGACCTGGAAGGTAGCGAAAGAAAGAGTAGACAAACTGTAGGAGCAGGAGTCACACACACACACACACACACACACACACGGTGTCGATCAAAGGAAATTCACTTGACTTGGACGGCCTCTAGCTAAGGAATGATAATGACTGCCTAATAGTTGTTGTTGACAGATTTCAGAAGCAGCCACTTAAGATGTTGCACAAGTTCAAGAGAGACAGAGGGGGAGAAAGGAGGAAGAGTAACGATTTAGGGCTTAGTCATAAAGTCATGTGTGATCCATGCCTACTCGTTTACAGTGTGTCATTGTATGGCAGACTGCATTGTTTTGTCTTTCTGTTTTTTACTTGTTTTATAGTGTTTCTGAAGGTATTTGTTTATTACAAGGCTTTGTTAGTTAATTAGTTGATTCTGATTGGCCAGTTACCCTGCTATCTGCTATCTGACTCTTGAGTTTCAAAACACATAACATTCAGTCCAAGGTTTTTATTGAAATGAATTTAATGTATTGGCTTAGGTTCGGGAGCAGGACCACGCCTTAACCACAACTTCACTCACCTGACAAGCCTTCTTTTACCTGGTCACCTCACGACCCGCCCTCGCTTCCCTCTCCTCTCCTCTCCTCTCTCTCCTCATCATCCCTTCATGTTCAACTTGGCGCATGCCTATCCTATGTGTTTGACTAATTCTAGGTGCAGTCTGGGCATAAATTGGGCGGCAGTAGCTCAGTCTGTAGGGACTTGGGTTGGCAATCGAGGGGTCACCGTGCAAGTCCCGGCATGGACCAGGTCTGGAAATTGGTCTGGTAGCTGGAGAGGTGCCAGTCCACTGCAGAGGTGCCCTTGAGCAAGGCCCCTAACCAGCTCAGGAGCGCCCACTGTGGGCAGCCCCCTCACTCTGAGACCTCTCTATTAGTGCATGTCCACAGGATCCTGTTTGTGCATGTGTGTGTTGACAGAGTGTAAAAAAAACAAATTTCCCCTCTCTGGATCAATAAAGTATAAATTATAATTATTATTATAAATCAGCTGAGGTAGGATTAGAGATGGAACCCCCATCCTGAGTCTCCCCTCTGTCGGTCCTTCAGTCCACCCTCCCCCGACCAGCCTACTGTCACAGTCCACATCCTCTTCCACCATCCTCGTCATCTCAACATACATGCATCCATCTCAACATACATAACACCAGTAAGACATTAACTATTTAAAATGTATCTTGTTGTGGCATGGTGTTTGCACGCCACAGTGAAGTGACCGTGCTCAGAGAGCTGCGGTAAAAGAAAGTTAACTGTCACACATCTTTCAATCAAATGGCCGCACACTGACTGATTGAGCCCCTGCAGCTCCGCCCACATCACCGTCACCGTGGCTACAGGGAAGAGCTTCTTGTGCATCAAATGGCTTTGTAACCATAGCATATTTCAGTGAGCATGAGCAAAACATACGGCGCTGCGACAGACTCTCACAGTGTTCGGTTTTACTCTCACCTCCTTCACATCCCTCTGGAGTTTCTGGTTGGCCTCTTCCGATCGGGCCAGCTCCCTCCTGGCGGACGTCAGCTGCTCCTCGATCTCCCCGACCTGACAGAAAGTGACAGCGCGGGATGTAAGGCTGAGTGAGCGCACATGGCTTTCTGTTTTCCGTTAGCATCTCCGGGCTTGAGATCTTTTTGTTTTGTTTTGTTTCGGTGAAGGCATTAGACCATAAGAGCATCTCTGAATCGAGTACCTGTCGGCACATGAGAGCCAGTCTTTCTTTCAGCTGCCCGAGCTCTGACCTCTGACGCTCGATCTCGCTCTCTCGCTGCCTGTCGACTTCGCCGTCGTCCAAGATGGAGGACGGTCCATTCGGGAGCCGCTGAATGGAGGAAAATAATGATTCTCATTCTTAAAAAAAAAACACAGAGCGTGAAAAAGTCTATTCTTGGACATTTAAACTTAGAAATTTTAACTTTCTGGTCTAAAATTTGCATCCAGACGTTTTTAACTGAGATACTGATTTCTGCAGGGTTGTCATGAATAACTTTTACTTAACCTCCGCTAATCATATCTACTAATAAAAATGAATATCACACAAGTTGGAGTTCAGTTGTACTAAATATGAGCACGGCTGTGATTTGATGATATATTGTGATTTATCTTACAATCTGTAAATCAAGAGTCTGTTGACTTCTGCCTGTATGATTGATCATTGTAGACACTAACTGTTTGTTGTTACGCTCATATAAAGCGCTAGAGGTACAGATAGTTCCAGTGCTGTTATTCTCTACGTCAGCACTAATGGAAAGCCAACATGAATCAGGGTAATGTCACAGCTAACTGACAGTGTAGGATTTTCTACGGTGATGCGTTAAACTAAATCTCTCGACTGGAGAAATGTGATTAGTTCGTGTGAAGCATAAGCTGAACGTGGTGTTTTAAGTTAGAATGAGTCAGCCGTCTTTCTAAAAGATTTGTAAAAGAAAACGCCTTCCCGTTACCTCTTTGCCGTTGTCTAATCCCTGCTGCCGTCGCTTGATTTGATCCCTCAAAGACACGACCTAATACACACAGGGGGGGGGAAAAAAAAAACCCAGTCAGGAGTCCCTGAATTCCCTGAAACATGAAAAATTCAAACAAAACCAGCGGAGAGAGATGTGGACTCACCTCTTGAGATGAGGTCTGCAGCTCTTCTTCCAGGGTCGCCACTCGCTCCAAAGCCACCCGTAGCCTCTCCCTCACCTTCTCGTCCAGAGCTTTGTGGTGCTCGAACAAGGACTTGAGGGCCTTTAGAACCTCCACCTCGCTGGAGACCCCTGCTGGAGACTGCGCCTGCCTTTTCACCACGGTCATCCTCAGGCTGCGCTCGTGGCGGGACACCAGGCACTCCAGATGTTCGAGCAGCAGCTGGAAAAACACATGTGGATCCCATACAATGAAAGCTCTCCACAGTGTAACCCTAATCTGTTTGAAACCGTCTCAGCTGGTTTCACGTGCAAGAAAAACCTGAGCAGAGCTTTAATCAAACAAATAAACACAAGACACCATGATGTTAAACAAACGTAGCATCGACTCAGGAGTGCACTGACTCGTGTGTTGTTCCTCTCGGCCTTCAGCTCTGCGATCTCCTCCTCTCTCTCCAGCAGCTGTTCCCGGCAGAGGTTCAGCTCTTTGGTCAGCACTGCAAATTCCTGCAGGGTCACAAGAGGGCGCTGTTATTGACTGAACGCTGCTGCATGAGGTCATGATCACACTCATGAGACTGTGAGGTTCACTGCATCCACAATCTGTTTTAAAGAGAAGCTCTAGAGGTTTTAAAAAAAAAGCACATTATGTCTGCTTCACCTAGCATTGGTGACTTCCTTCATTTCCCAGAATTCCCTCAGAGAATAACTAAGCTAACCTGGCTGATTTTACAGATGGAAGGATTACGAATAAACAGCAGGGTGGGTGAATGTTTGAATGTTTATTTTGGCAAATGGCTGCATTGCATTAAATCTGCACTGCAAGCTTTTTTTTTTTACCTATAAAAAAAAAACGTGATCAGTGGAAATATGCAACCAAACTGAACTGGAAATATCTCAAAGGGAGGTCACTTTGGCTAGCTGGAAACAATCCGAAGTCAAATCAAACACAAATACTGCTGACTGTAACATTAATCACCAGTATTTCCCGTAAGCCCACCCAGCACAATTTACCACAATTCTAACAATCTTGACTTTATTAGGGAACTCAAACCTTTACAGAAATGAAATGCAAACAAGCAGCTTCAATTTGGCTGGAAATAAAAAAACCAAACATGCAATTCAACTTTTTCATATCTCCAACAGCCACTGGGACTCATAAACCAGAGTTGTGTGTTAAAAAAGTTTAACAACCAGGTTTATTGCACATGTTGCACCTGAAATTGGTTTGATTGCGTAATAACCGTGACTGGCTGTGCGTTTGTCTGTCATTAAAACAAACGCCCGGGGGGTTAAACAAGCATGAAAGTAACCAGTGGTGGAGCAGTGGTGGAGCCAGACTTTGTTAGACTGGTGGCGGCTTAACTGGGGCATTGACTAATCTGAGGGTGGCCCGAAGTGTGAAGTGAATGATGAGCATGAATCTGAAAGATGTTATTTCCTGTGAATATTTTTCAAACTTAAAAAAAAAAAAGCAACATGAGAGGCAGCATTTAAATCTTCTTAGCTTATTTCTTTTTAAGATTTAAAAAGATGTTTGCAACACGGCCGGAAGAGTTGATTTGGACATAAATCCCGCCTCTGACCAGGAAAACAGCCAATTAAAACTTTGGATGGCCACTTGGTTTGCAAAATTAGATTTCAACGGTGGCCACCTCTGGCTCCGCCCCTGGTTAGGCGACATGCAAAGTCTTCATTTTCCAACTGAGCCGTTGTGATTTTGTGTTTTTAATTTCAATTTTGTCTCGTGTGAAGTCAGCTACGAGATAGTTAACGATGAAGAAACTGTTGCCCTTGACGACAGAATTCTTTGAAGACTGACTGATTCAAACTTTTAGCTGAGTTGATCCCTTTGTTTTCTGTAATCAGGACACTTTTAAAAAACACGCAAACAGGCCGTTAAAGGTCACTGCTGCATGCATCGGGCTGCTGTTGTCCTTCCTCTGCGCTAACATTTTTCATTTTACCCACACGGCCGCTAACAGGCGTCTGTACGTCACACTCACTCCTGGCCAAAATGCATGTAAAAAAAAAAGTAGAGTACATCATGTAACGAGCCGCTCAGCTGATGTGCTTGCTGGGCAGAGATAGGGGAGGAAGCAAAGGGAAGAGTTTGAAAAGAGGGAAGAGGAAGGATCAGAGAGGAAATTGCTCCGTGCAGATGGTGTGTTCTGCGCCCAAAGGATATCCTAATTCTGGGATTAATTCATGTAAAAGACGGACCACCGCTACCAGTCGCTTTCTACATCCCTCTCTTTCGGTCGCCATCATTTTGGCTCCATGATGCAAATCATGCTCGCACTTTTTCGTTTTTCTGCTCGTTTTTCATCCATTTCTATCAAACCCTGTCATGATCCACGACATCTAAAACTACACTCCTGAAGCCACCTCATTAGTATGCAGCTCTATGCAAATAGGCTTGATTTGTTAGTCTCTGTGTGTTTCATATCACCAGGTTTTCTCCTTCTCTCTCTCTCTCTCTCTCTTTCTCTGTGCCATGCTGTCGCTCGCTCCCTCCATCCCCGTCTCCTATTTTTCTCTCTTGGCAACGTCTCCACACACAGACGAACTCGCTGAACTCATCTACTGTAGATTGTATCGCAGCCCTCCATGTGTTCCTCTATCTGTGTGTGCGTGTGTTTCTACACGTGTGCACCATATTGATCCCCCTTCACAGTGAGGTAATACGGCCTTTTAATGTCCAGTCCAGCACCGCTACATCTGTTATTCCATTTTGATTTTTCCAGGCGTAGTGACGGAAGGAAAATAGGTACTAACAATAAGGGAGGCATCATCGCCCGCCTGAGGCATCCGACAATGACTCCGGCCTGAAAATAGAGATGGAGCCCTTGTATGTTGAGTGGAATTACAAAATGATTAGCTCTCTCCAGCTCAGGGATGTGGGATAATATAATAATTGGCTTCTGTGCTGCAGGGGCAAATACAACATTTCTACCATCAGCTCCAGGGTTTATGATTGTTCCTCTCGTGTACGACTCCAAAGCTTAACATCCGCTTTACCCCCCCCAAAATGTGAAAATATCTTTAAAAAGCCCTGATGGTCTTTTACAACGGTTAACACATTAAAAAGTTTTCCTAACATCTTGGATGAGGAAACAGCCAATCAGCAGCAAAATAAAAAAAACATTTTTAGCTTCTTTCTCAGGATGCGACAACTCAAACTTAGTCGAGATTTGCAGAACAGCATATTTATGTACAAAGGGAACATCTATGTTTTTGTTGCAGGGATGAATTCTTAATGCTGATCGTAATAAAACTCTAATGCTACTACTTCTTTAATACACACACACACACACACACACACACACACACACACAGCCTGTAAATCAACTCAATCCATACTTACACTCAAATCGGGCAAAGAAGCATGCATCTCTTTCATGACACAACATGTACTCGATTACAGTAATGTAGTGATAATACTTTCACCTTTGCTAATATCGGCCGATATTATCGGCTGGCCGATGAATCGGTCGCGCTCTGGAAGGTAGTAGACCGTTGAGGTTTGTTTAAATATCAAAGTTTCTATATTGTTTGGATACTCAGTAACTGGATCTCTTTAGCTGAAATGTAAAAAAAAAAAAGGGACACAAAGTAGAGCTACGTTTACAGACGTTTGTGCTGAATGTACTGCTCAACTCAGCAGCCAGGGTTTCTGAATGATCATCATTAACCTTCATTATGTTGAGAGTCTGACTGAAGCTACAGTAGAAGGTCTGTGCAGAGATGTTGTGATCTGCAACCGTGTATGAATAGGAGACTGAAAGAGGACGAGGAGTATTCTCAGAGTCATGACATGTTCGGCTAATTTAGAAATCTCTTTACTACATTTTATTCCCCTTTAGTCCCTCAAAGAATCAACTAGATTGAAGATTTGCAAATGATAACATGAAATTCATTCAAACTATACTTTAAATCTTACTCTCTAGTAACCCCACTCTCTGCGCAAATTAAAGTAGCCATTTTTTGTTTCCAAGTAGTACTTCATCCCTCAGAGCTACTCATCATTTTGCAGAATTATAACTCAAATTCAACATGCAACGTCCTCGTATATCCGCCGTGATTATGATGACTTCAACATACATGCTTGCATAATGTTAGCGTCAGGATGTGCAGTATTTATCGTGAGCATCATCTGTTATGGTGCTTTAAACTGCACATCAGATCTACAATAAAGACTCTCACTCAACATTACAATCCTTCTTACAGGTTAACACATCAATAATTCACGAGTGTGAAAGGAAACCATTTTCCATCAGAGTGCAGGAGCACAGTCTGCTGATAATACTTCCACGACTGTTCTACATGCATGCAGAATCCCTATGCAAAAAATCATGTTCTGGTTTTGATTTTTTTTTTATACAAACACTGCTGCAGATATAAATTATTGTCATGATTTAATGTATTCTCTTCTGTGATATCATGTGGTGTTTTTTTGTTTACATCTGACAGATATGTCATTTTGAGGCAATCAAACTTGAGATAACAAGCTGAACTTCATTAGACTGGACTACAAAAGGGTAAATGGACTTGAGCTCTTCTGACTTTTACACAGCACATCACACCTACACATTCACACCCTGATGGTAGAGGATGCTAAAGTATGTAAAGTGTCCATCAGTATTAACTAATCCCATTTATCCGCATTCACACACCACCAACGAAGCAGCAGGAGCAACTAAGGGTTACGTTTCTTGCACTTGACACATCAGACATGTGGCTGCAGGAGCTGGGGATCAAACCTCCGACCTTTCGGTTAACAGACGACAGAATCTACAAACTGAGCCTCAGCCTCCCCCAACACTCAGACAGACAATTATACATCAACTTCCACATGAAAAAAACTAACCACACCCCTGTGTAAGTTAGCTTAAGGTTAGTCAACGAGTACGTAGAGTCATAACCATGAAGCAAATTGACCAACCACCACTGTAAGAGTGAAGAAGGTACCTTAGATAATGTATTGTCACTTTGAGCTAATGCACAGGAAAACTTGATGATGCTGCAAAACATGATTTCATCAACAGCTCCTAGTCTCACTTTGAAAGTGCAAAACTCAAATATTTCAATTCAGGCCTAAAAGCCGTGCACAGATGTCGATTCAGGATGCTGGATTGCTGGAGTCTTGAAAGAGACTTGTGTAAAAATATTAGCATCTTAGCTTGTAGCCTGTAGTGTAAAGAATGGGATTAAAAATCTCACCTGCAAAGCTCTCAAAGGTCAAGACTTTCTATCTTTAAGAGAAAATAGTTTCTTTATCACCCATCTCAATTAATGCTCTGCAAAATCTAGAGTATTAAAAGTCTGCAAAAGTAGTACAGGAGGTAGAGCAATCAAAGATCAGGACCCACTCCTGTGGAATTATTCACTACGCTGCTTCAGGGAGGATTATGTTCTCCCTTTTTTATAAAGATAATGCCGATATGTTAAAGCGTTTAGTTAGTACTAGTTCAGTCTTTCCTTGTTATAACCTCCAGTTATGCTGCTGTAGGCTTAGACCGCTTGAGGCACATCTCGACGGTGCTTCTCCCTCTCTTCTTCTTCATGCATTCATCTCCTATAGATACTAACTTCATATCTCCCCCCCCCACCCGAGTGTCATCGTGCAGGTTGTTGCCGACTGCCTGATGGCGTTTACTTGATATTTTCAAAACTATTAGTCATTCTTCTAGAGTTATGTCTACTGTTATAACTCCGTCTCTGTCTGTTGATCCTTTTCATCTCCTTTAACACTGATCCTGTTATTTTCTATTCAGTTGTTTATTGGTCTGTTAAATATCAGTGTTCTTTTTTTTAGATCTCTCTTTTATGTTTTCTCTTGTGTAAACGTTTTTATCTGTACATCCCTGTGCTCATTTATTTACAAGATGCTCCAGACTAATTGGCCCAAGATGGATTAATGAAGTTGTTTGAATTTAAACTGAATTAGTCTGACTATCTATTTTAGCTTCTTTCTCAGGATGCGACAACTCAAACTTAGTCGAGATTTGCAGAACAGCATATTTATGTACAAAGGGAACATCTATGTTTTTGCTGCAGGGATGAATTCTTAATGCTGATCGTAATAAAACTCTAATGCTACTACTTCTTAGCACTTTAATACACACACACACACACACACACACATGTAGCCTACTGGCTATACTGGTGGATGGACCTCCACCTCCAGTAGACTCTGCTCAAGGTGTCTATTAAAGGAGGTGTTCTACTTGCTACTGTTGCCAGCTGCTTGCAAACGGTGCAACATGTTTGGGTTAGTCTTTACAATATGACAAAAAGCACCGTCTCGACGTGCTCTGAGTGTCTTCGTACCTGTGGCAGGGCGATGGACAGCTGCCTCTGAAGCGACTCCTTCTCGTGACCCAGCTCCCTCAGGCGTAGGTGTGCCGTCCCGAGGCAGTCCTGGGTCTCCCTCAGGCTCTCCAGCAGCCTCTCCCTCTCCGTCAGCATGTTCACCATCAGCGACTCCAGGTTGCCCGTGCTGCCCCCCTCGTCGCTGCCGCCTCCGCTTACGCCGCCGCCGCGGGCCTCCCGTCCGCTGTAGCCCCCGATGCCTGCGATCCCTCCGCCCATCCCTCCGCTGCCGCCGGCGGGGGAAGACGAGCCGCCTCCTCCGCCGCGCCCGTCCTCCGAGATGGTGGGCATCACCTCGCACATCATCTTGAGGCCTGGGGTGTGAGAGGGCGTTACCTAAGAAGCTGTCGAGGACGCCTAACCGCTAGTGTCTGGTCAACGCCAAGGAAGGGTCACCGAGTGCTGGTTAGGGGGTTACTTGGTCCTCTCAAGCTGATTGGTCGAGGCTGACAGGCAGGAAGCAGGTGCTGTGGGTCGGGGGGAGAAATGGGCCGGTTCCGTGGATGTGTGAGTGAGAAAAAGGTGTGGGGGGGGGGAAAAGGATGTTAGATAAGTTTGGTGGAGGGTAGGGGCGGGGTGGGGTGAGGTGGGGTGGGGGTGCAGGGGTGAGAGGGGAGAAGTGCAGGTTTTGGTGGACCACCTCAGACCCCCGGCCCGAGACGAACCTGAAGAGAGAAGACAGGAAGAAGAAACGGAAAGGAGGCTGAATAATGTGGATTTGGGAGAAGCCAGGAGACAGAACCGTGTGATGCCTTGGAGGAAGTGATCCCTGACATGATCCACACACACACACACACACACACACACACACACACACAATACACCGACAGCACATGCACATTTCTCCAACCTCAAAGAAAGAACAACCATTGCTTTTATCGCAGCTCTCTCTCTTCTTCTGACTGGCATCGCGATACTCTGGAGTAATTCATCCATCAGTGCATGTCTCCGTTTTTTTTAATGTTTCCCAACGTCCATACTTATAATGGGGGGGTGGTGGGGGGGATGAAGGCGCATGATGATGTACGGAAATGAAACGTGAATGGCAGCTTCACCTCAGCAGCCTACAAACCGGCCGTCACGCAAACACGGAACAATTAAGGGGGGGGGGCCTGATGTGGAAGAAAGATGCGATGCTGTTTCATACAGAGGCGAAATGTGAGGGGAGGAAAAAAAAAAAAAAAAAAAAAAGGGTGTCATCATGAATTGTAATTACGGGCTGTATCCAGGAGGAAACAGGCTTCTTTTAGCCTATCTGCGGCTACCATCCGTACAAATATTCCTTTTGCATCAGGAGGCTTCTTGTTGTTATCATCAGGGTGTTAAGACGGGAAATGAATGGATGTCTTTATAAAATGAAGGGGTGCAATTTGCAATTTTTTTGGTACAATCTCGGGCTGTGCAGGATAGAATCACATCGCTTTAACATCGTGGTGGGAGGTGCCAATCATCCTGTAAATGATGTAGGCCCTAATTAACAGATTAAAACACACACACACACACACACACAAGCTATTCCACAGTGATGTTAATTAGAATAGTATGGGACAGATAAATGTCTGAAAACGCAGCGTCGCTTCGGTTGCACTCCGTCTTCAAGGCGTTTATTTCCTATCAACACCCCACTGCCCTCCTCCCCTATCCCTCCCCCTCCCCATCCAACACCCCCCCCCCCCATAAAAACAGCTGGATGGTCTAACGCATCCGTGCACCCGTGCATCGGCGTGGATTTCGCTCGCCACCGGACGGTTCGTGGATCTTACCCTCTCCATGATCGACAGAGAACGGACAGAAACGCGCGTCGTTGCCCGGTTCACTCCATCAGAGCATCTGAGAGACGGAGGCTGCAGCTTATCCCCGTTACAGCCCGGTTGCCAGCCTGCCCCATCCCCTCCCTCTCTCTCTCTCTCTCTCTCTCTCTCTCTCTCTCTCTCTGCTGAGGGAGCGAAGCTGGCCTCAGCCGCTCCGTCAAGTCACACGTTACCATATGAGCTGCATCCGGTCTAGACTTTCAGAATAAGAACATGATACTCCGTGTGATCAAGATTCAAGATTATGAAGCTGATTTATACATCTATGTAAGATAAAGCAATTTTTGAAGAGTGTTTATATAGGCTAGAAAATATTTAGCCTAATGGAATTTCATTTCGTCTGATCTTTTCTGGTATTTAATAATTCAAATCCATATTTCAATGATTAATTTTTCTTTTCAGTTTTTATTATCAGACTGTTTACTGCACTACCTGTGATTAGTTAAGCCTTGATCTACCTGGAGAGGGGGATTGTTTAAGCAAGAACAGGGTTAGGGTTAAAATGACGTGATGATAAGTGGAGTCAGGGAAAGACAAAAGTTCAATTACAAATATCCTACACTAAAAAAAAGAAATATTCAGAGCAAATTTCTAGAGAAATAGGTCATTGGTGTTAAGTGATAATTCGCAGTAGACATCAATTAAACCCAGATATTATTTTACTCTATTATATTTTTAAAATAGCTATTTTTTACCATCAGAATTCCCTGTTTTTTAGTGCCAGTAGTTGTGTTATCTATAGCAGCAATATAAAGGGTTGAGGGGCTTTAAGCTGGTTTACTTCTTAAGAAGAAATTTATTATTTCTGTGGATGGATTTTTTATTTTATTTTTTTTTTGCTCAAATTTTTGTTCCTCTAAATTAGTAAATACTAATACAGCCTTTTAGGCACCTAAACACATTCAAAGTAGACATTTTGAGGAGCTAAAAACATGTTAAGTTGAAGTGCTAAACCATTTTAAACCAAGATTTAAGTAAACGTGTCTCTGCCTTGAAGATTCACAGCCTGAAAAAGGATACAGGAAACCACTGTCGGCAACATAGAAAAGGTGTAATGACATACTGGCCTTTTCTTTTTGCTTTTATAATAATTCGCAAACACAGCTTGAAAAAAAAAAAAAAACAGTCATGACTGACAAGATCAAACTTTATTTTGAAGTCAAGAGATAGTGCTTCCGGTGTGGTTTTGTTGAACTTCATGAGATTTCTTCATCTAGCTTCTCTCACAGCTCCTCCTGGAATTTAAAGGTACAGGCCACTTCTCTGATTCGCCCTCACATCCTGACATTCACCTCGAAACACTTTGATTTAGCACTTTTTTTTTTTTTTTTTTATCTTCACAAAGAAAATCTAATAAGTTATTTGTTAGTTATTCCTCAGTCATGGGTTAATATGTGGCCAAGAGATACCTGCCCGTGCTTAATAATGTAGCAACGGCTCCCCCTCGTGGCTTAATAATGCAAATACAATACACTGCTAAGTTTCAGGCCAAAGGTCTTGAATGTCATTCATAGTTTTCTTTTGAAACTAAAGGATTAGAGAGAATGTCAAGAGGTCACTGTCTTTGAGAAAGAAATAAACAATAACAAGAAGTGTTTGCAGTTTAAATAAAGATGAACTTTTTTTTAGTACCCAGAGAAGAGAGAGTGGATTATAAGGGGATAATTAAATGGAGACACATTTCTTCTGTTATTCAACAGATTGAATGTAAGAAGAATGAGAAAAGGTGTCTGTAAAAGAAATGAACCAGTCTTGAAAGGTTTGGTCTGTGAGCCAATCAGATCTCAGGGGAGGCAGGCCTTAGGTCCCCAGGTAATATGTGACAGGATGGGGAGGAGGGGGGTGACGTAATGTCCCCTCCAGAGACGATGATGTACAAAACAGGGAGCAGTGAAATTCAAAGTGAATCTGAAAGGGAGATTTCAGAAAACAGTAAAGATTGAAAGAAAGAACAAAACAATTAAAGACAGTTCCCAGAATGAAAAAATAATCAAAAAGAAAAAAAGTTTCCCTAATTAAAAAGATAAATAAAGATTCAGATAAGGAAGAAAGAATGATTCCCATTGATCATGATGGAAAGACTCCAGAAAGATTTTATATAAAATCAAGCAGATCTTTTCTCCAACTTAAATATGCAAATAAACATTGGACTTTTTGTAAACAATGGAAACCTTTTGGGGAAGTTTCTGCAACTTTCAGACTTTTTCTTTAACATCTGTGAGTTTTTATAATACATATTAAACCGTGCAGACAGATGAAACAGTCTGAGAGACACTTCGAGCACGTGCAGATAAAACTCATCATGATGCGTCAGCAGTTTGAAACAGATGAACACAAACTGTTCGTTCTTTAAAGTGAGCGTGCCGCAGGTTGATTATATTCAAACTCCAGAGAGCATCACAGACTCTGTTTTTCCCTTGAAAAGAAAACCAGACCTCAGGTTAGTTTTAGTTTTTAATATGAAGTGACTTCAATAGATTTGATTCTTTACTAGCCTTGTGTTTTTGCACGTGTGTTTAATGCTTTTCTGTTCCTGTTTGAATCTGTTTCTAAAAATATCCTCCACTTAAAGGGACTTAGTCAACATGTTTTAATTTAATTTGTTTTAACTGATGGAAACTCTGATCTAGACTCTACACACACACACACACACACACACACACACAGGACCTGAGGGGGGTTCTGTGGCAGCACTCAGGAAGTGCCCTGGTACCTCTCCAGCTACCAGACCACCTTCCATAATTTGGTCCGCACCGGGACTTGAGCGGGAGACCCTCCATTTCCCAACCCAAGTCCCTACAGACTGAACTACTGCCACCAACAAATCACCAGCAGAGCATCCTCCAATAGTACTGCACACACACTCACACACACACACGCGCACACAGACAAGCTACTCTGCTGATCCATAAACTGTAGGAAATATTTCAGAAAATGACATTATTTAGATTATATGTTCAGTATCAAATCTTGAGCAGACAGAGTTTGTTGGATTGAAACGGGAACGACTTTAAACCTCAGTTTTGTGATTTTGCAGTGTGAGGTTCAGACGACCTACTGGGAGTGTGTGTTTATATTTCTATGATTCAGCCTGCAGACGTGGCTCATTACAGCTCAGCAGACACTCGGCTCAGTGGTTTCTCAGCTTCAGAGGGCAGTTTGGGTTTATTGGGGCAGAATCATGTGACCGACATACAGCAGAGCTGCACGCCGGTCTCAGTCGTTTTTTTTTTTTTTGTTCTTTTCACCATTTTGTACAAAAATTTTGAAGCAGAAAAAAAATCAGAGTTCATCTCTTCGCTTTCAATCTGCTCGTAAGAGTCCAGTTACTTTTCTAAATTCCTTATTTCATCTTCAGTGAACGGACAGAAACAACAACACATCCTTAACTGAACATTAGACATGAAATAAAACTAGAGGAAAGACTTCCAGCTGTACCTGAAACACAACACAAACTATAAAGCCAACATCTAGGGTATAAAGTAGAAGTGACCATAACATAATAAAAGATTGTGTTTTTGTTTCATTGAGATGATTTACTCATGTCTGCATATTAAAGATCAGGGATGTCCTGATCACTTATAGATAAGATGTACTCACTTAAAAGATGATTATGTATCTGAAATAAAAACTTCTAGACACTTAATGTGACACATATTCACCATGAGATACTCTATCTTAACATTGGAGATCCCGTTAAATTAATCAAATTATGTTTTTTACTTTAACATGAATGAGAGCATAAAGT